ATTAAAAATCTTTAGCTAGCAAGCAAAGAGCTTTTCTCACCAAAGAATAATTTTAAGATATACATGCATACTTGATTTCTTATGGAACTTTTTGAGAACTTTTTTATTGAGGATACCAGATAGATATCATAGAGATGTTCATCCTTTAATTATAAGCTAAAAAACTGTACTTGCAATCCTTTAGATGGGAGCGTATATTCTCAACCCGAGACCTATTAACAAGAGGTATTTGAATGATATTGAAATCATGATATATATCTGACATTGAAGATAAATTTTTGGATTTGGGATCTTTTTGTGCGACGCGAGGAACATGGAGTTTATTCTATACTTTGTTAAAGGTCATCATTTAATATAAGTCGCACATCGCAATATTTTAAAAATGTATGGATGTTCAAATTATCCAAAGTCTCGCCATGAGTAAAACCTAGGCATTATGGCATTTCATCAAATCTAGAAGATACACAATAAAATGGAATGGTTCAATTTTAAGATGGGTCTGACCTTAATACTAAAACGCAAGCTTGGAAAATCTACGGACCTTCGAAACTAAGTTATTTGGCAGGTAGCATTGGAGCATGCATGTGGCAATAAATGTTACGCTAAACTATATATAGAAACATGAATTGTGACACCGTAAAGGAGGAAACGAAAAACGCTGGGAGTTGGGAGTTGTCATCGAGGCCATTAACTCCAATTTTTTTTCCCCAAAGTTCAGTTAATTACTCATATTTAGATTTTTTTTTTTTTGGTGAAATCCAAACCATCATGGTCCAAGAAGTGAATGAAAATGAATGTTTAATTTGTAATTAAAGAAGGATAATAATACATGGGAAGCATCAAGCATAGATTTACAAATATATAGAAAAGCTATAAAAAAATCTTCAGAATATTGTAATACATCACATATATCATATACTGTATGTATGTGTGTAAGACAGGAAAAGAGTGAGTGAGTTGACACCAACACCGGAGCTACAGGTGGGTTATGAACTTATGATGATTGAAATTTAATTAAAATAACGGCATTGTAACTAAGATCATTAACGAATGGTCGTTTGTAGTTAAGGCTGTAACGTGTTGAGCATTAAATGTGGCAATAAATTCTTCACTCGTTACTTGTATTTTCTTTTTTCCCATACTTGTAGAATCATAAGATCTGCAACGGAATAACGTAAGACGAAGACTAATAAGACCTAGATCCGTCTTTGGTTTTCTTTATTTGTTTTATAACCAACTATTGTGAATCCAAATTATTAGAAGCCAGAGCATGTAGTGCCACCGAGTTTGAAACCCTTCAATCTACGGGTACATTATTCAAAACAAAGAGTGACTGTAGATAAAAATATTATTACCTCTACATGATTAACTTGCCTGAACAAAAAAAAATCTTAGAGGCGAAAGTTGTTTTGTTTTTTTTCTTTCTTGAAGCGGGTACGATTTCAGTTTATAAGTTTCAGCATATCATGATAATCTTATCAAATGAAACAATAATATCAGGTAACCAAACTTGTACTAGAATGTCTTGCATGTGTCAGTTGTGCTTTCAAAAACTCTGATTTTCATAAATTGCGTTTCAAACGATTGGAATTTACGTTTTTTTTTTTATAATTTAGGTGATCCGGCTGAACTAGGAAATTTTCATTATTCCCAACATCAATTAGTTATGAGGTCCGGAGAAATCATAGTTTACGATTCTTGTTTAAATTATGAGACGAAAATTAGTTTAAGCTGTTTGACACCCACTGTTTGTTTCGTATTATGTGAATGCCCAATTGCCAATAATAATTGTAATGGACCAACTGGTAATAATAGTATATATATTTAAAGACAACTCTCAAATGCAAAACTTTTAAATTTAGTAAGAGATACGAAAATGTTTTAACTGAGTTAAGACTCTTCTAATAATGTTTTCTTTATCTTCTTTAGCAAAAAGTAGTAGAAAACAAGTGGTAGTACATGTAACTTAATAATATTTTTCTTTTTACAAAAAGTCTAACAATTCAACAAACCAAAACGGGAATTTCTTGTTTTCTGCCGGCTTTGTATTTCAAATCCTGTATTCCATTCTTATATTTCAAAAATCTATCGTTCATGTATCCTTTCAAAAGTTATAATAAAAAGTTGTAGTGAACAAAAAAAACGGACCAAAAGAAATAACTCGAAAATAGTCAAAAAGAGGTGTGGGAGATTTACCTTAGCCAAAAGCCCGTTTCCCAAGTAAGTAGCTCTGAAAGGGACAGTGTTTTTGTTGACCAATTAGCAATTATCTCGATAGTTGTTTGTTTTTTTGCAAGCTGAAAAGACTATTCACAACTCACAACAGTGCACACTTCCTTCTCCGCTTCACAAATATCACCAATAGCTCCATCTCTCTATCTTGTCGGCAGAGATTTCTTTCTCCTTTGTTGAGAAATACTTTTTTTTTTTTTTTTTTTGTAAAATTGTTGAGAAACTTTTATCCCTTTTTAGTTTTATTTCTTCTCCGATTCTTTTGTTCACCCATCATCTCCTCAATTATTGTTGCACGAAAATGTTTGTAACTATCTTCATGCAATCATATCTATAATGTGTCATGTGTTTATTGGGTTTTATCGTGTTTCTCGATAAGAAATATCACATCCCACTTCATCGTTCCAAACAAATATGATAGTTTATTAAAAATAAGAAGACGTACTCAACTCTCAATATACCACCAAAATAATCCTACTTTAAATTTGGATTGTTTTCTCATCTTTTTCAGTTAATTATTTCAGATACTAGAGATATGATGTACGATTAGAGTATTGATTTCAACTAATGGAGAGATGTACGTTGCATGGAACACTAACTTTGTCGATGGATACGGCATACACAATCTATAGCTAAGCTTCTCCTTCAGGATACAGCATACACAATTTCTACTACTATCATAAAGCTAGCATCGACTGCATGATGCAGAATCGTCTCAAGATTCGATTGTCTATTAATCTCTCTTTAAATATTATTTTGGGCAGTTTTGGCAAAAAAAAAAAACAATTTTGGGCTGTTTTTCGCATACTTTATAGCCTGTCTTTATTGTTTCAGTTTTATGATACTCTTTAGAAAGAAAATGGGTTGTAATAGTACTTGTATGTAATCATCTCACTTCTTTTTTAGTAAAATAGAATTAACACTAAAACCAAAAAAAAAAGTTTGTGGATTGTTGAGCTTGGGTGCTTCTTTGTGTAAAAATTAGAAATTTTGGAGAGGTACACGCATTAACATTTATTCTGAGCATAAGTGATTAACTACAGTTATATATATATATATGTATATATGAACTACAACTATATACGTTGATGCCAACAATCGAAGTCTTTTTGTTCCATATTGTAATTATAAGCGGTTTTTCAACGACAAAAATTATAAGCAGTCGTTGACACTCGATTTCTCATAGAGAAGCGCACATTCTCTTCCTTTTTTCTTCTTAGGCATTTTTTTGTTTTGAACCTTATTCTTCTTAGATTTTTTGGGGTCTTAAGTTAATCTTATTAACATCCCAATTGTTTTTATATCCATATTACGTTATCAAAGTGCGTGGCTCATATATTTTTCGTTAAGTGTCGGCAGGTTGGAAATTATGACGAGATAATGACATTATCAATACTTTGTCTTCTGAATTATTTATTAATTTTTTTTTTTGAAAGAACGATTCAATACTTTTAAGAAATAAAATTAAATGTAATATTCAACGTCTACGTAAATTTCGTTTTTCTTTTTGTGTTTGGGTCAGAAGTGCAACCCGGATAATTTATAAAAAAGATTTAAAGAATTTTAAAGGTAAATCGACGATAGAAAAATATGGATTTGCATGGTGCTTCGAACATGGACCAACATGCTTCTTCTACCACTTCTGGACCCAATGTGCATATGCATATAAATTCGACATGCTTTTTCTACCACTTTAATCAATGCACGGAATAATCTAGACGTACTGATATCGTCATGCAATTCATCCCTGCAATTCATATGTGTTATTAAATTTATTTCCTATATAAGCGACCTCGAAAGCATTTTAGAACTTGTTTTTGAAGAAAAAAAAAGAGGATTGAGATATACTGATTTGATATGTCAGGCGTCGGCAAGTTCATGAAAAATACATAAAAATAAAAATATACGTGTTTGATTTTGAAAGAAACACTAAGTAATTATTGATATGGGATGTATCTCTTGCCCATGTGCCAAGGCAAGACAATGACTCTTCGTTAATTACGAATATGAATCATCGTAGCATCACATTCTTCCAATTAATTCCACTTTACTTTTACAGAAAATCAGCCTAAAGAAAAAACGAAAAAACTGATTCTCATTTCAAAAGCTCAAAGTTGTAACAAAAAAAAAACTTTATCTTTTCTATCCTTAACGATAAAATTCGTTTAATTCAATGATAATGATTTTTTTTCTTCTTTTTTTTGGGAACTTACACAATAATTTGTGAGCTCATATATATATCTTTGTTAAAGGTGTGAGCTCATATATTAAGAAACTGTTTTCTTTTCTCTTTTAATCATTACACTAGGTCTAACCAATCCAAAGCAATCCAAGACATTGTTTGTAAAGGCCATGAGGCCATCACGAGGCCTATCATGTTATAGGCAGATGTTTAATGGAAAATTGTGCTTAAGTTGCCTAAACTCTTACACCTAAGAGTACAGTTCCCAAAAGAAAGAAAGAAAAAAAAAAAATCAACAAATGTGAAAAAATGCTTGATAACTGATAGTATTTAACAAGATTATTAAGCAATTAAAGTATTAAACCATCCTTTCTAAGTTATTTACAAAAAGTTAAGATTAGGATTTGGTTTTTGGCAAAAGCGGCGCCGTTTGGATGACTCAATGATTTCATCAGCTCTCTTCTCTAGTATTCTCCATTGGATTAACCGAATAATAGACAAACGGTTCAACCGGGGGGAAACCGGGAAATCAATTAAAAAAAGAATTGAACCGGACTGGTCCAAAATCAAATCGCGACAAGCCCTAACGAGTTTCTTCTTCTTCGCTGCGTCTACCATCTGCAAAATCGACGACGTGCTCAGCCAGCGATTTCCAGGTATTGGTTTCTTCTTCTCTCTTCATATTTCCTTCTTACCGTCTTTTTTCTGGTCAAGTTGCTCATTAATGTCTTATTTGAATTTTAGATTTCAAAATTGGAATGATTTGACCGAAAATGGTCGGGGTATTCGTGTTCGCATATCTCTGATTTATGATTTCTTCTCGATTTTTCGATTTAGGGTTTTTTATTTCGTATGCCATTTTGAATTCTACCACTTGATGCCATAGAAACTCCGTAAATTTTGGATTTTGAATGTGACTTTTGGTTGATTCGAGCATTTTCACTTACCGAATTGTTTGGATTTTGCGTCCTCGTTGTTTTTGGTTGAATCTCATGGATACAACGAGTTTCGATTGATGATAAGTTTAGTGAGGTTCTAGATTCTTCTAGGTCTTAGTTGATGTAGTGTTCTGGGTATATGATGGAATCTAGAAATCTTGAAAAGGTTTTCATTGATTGATTTATTCAGCTTATCGTTTCCAGACATCTAAAAATGGCTTTCTGCACCAAACTCGGCGGTCACTTGAAACATGGAAATGTTCAAGTGACATCAATGCTCGGTTCTCTCCGCTACATGTCCACAAAACTTTTCATTGGTGGTAAGTAATGGTTTCATTTCACTGCTATTGCTGTTCTGAATCTTTGTTACTGTGTATTTGCTTTCTCTTGTTGAATGTTTTGGTCACTGTTAATTCTGGTCCCAGGTCTATCACCCGGAACTGACGACCAGTCCTTGAAGGACGCTTTCTCTAGCTTCAATGGAGTGACAGAGGGTAAGCCCTGGATCTTGCCAATCTTTCTTCTCACTGTTCTACAATAGAGTGTGTGTGGTTGAGTTTAAGGTGTCGTAGTCATTATTATGCCATGACTGATTGATGTTGAGAAACATTTGCGATATGGTATCCGTGTTTTGCTTTTGGTGGATTTAACTATCTTGCTGACTATGGTTTATATGTTTAAGGGTCGGTCGTTTCAGTGTCGTGTTATTTAACATAATCTTGTTGTGGCTTTGGTTTTGCAGCAAGAGTCATGACAAACAAATTGACTGGAAGGTCGAGGGGTTATGGATTTGTTAATTTCATGAGTGAGGATTCTGCCAAATCTGCTATTTCAGCTATGGATGGACAGGTTAGAATACGAAAGAATCACCAACCTCGTTCTTTATCTATCATACTAATTTACTATGTTTTATTGTTAAATTGCTCTTTTTTGTTGGTTCTGTGGTGGTTTAATTAGGACTTGAATGGGTTTAACATCCGTGTGAACGCTGCAAAAGAATGGCCAAGTTTGCCATTGTCTTTGGATGAAGGTATAGAAGATGAGAAGAGAGGCAATAAGATTGTGAGCCGATCTGTATGGAAAGATCCATTCGTTGATGCGTTCTTGATGAAGAAGAAAAACGCAGCACTGAACAGGAAAATATGGTCACGGAGATCGACAATTCTGCCAGAGTATGTTGATTCGTCTGTGAGAATCTACAATGGCAAGACTCATGTGCGTTGTAAGATCACAGAAGGAAAAGTTGGGCATAAATTTGGAGAGTTTGCGTTTACAAGAAAAGTGACGAAGCATCCTAGAGGAAAGTAAGTGTAATGCATTAAGTTTTTTGAGGATGAATGTGTCAGCTTGAGATAGACTTTGGAGAAAAAACCAGAAAATGAATCAATAAGAATTCCATTTGAGCTTAGAAGAAGTCTTTTTATCGACTCTGAAGTGTTGTGTAAGTGTGTATCAAGTCCTGAAACCTGAGGATGATTTAGATTGTTCATTTCTCGAGGGATAGGAAGCTTTGATAAGCCATTGATCCTCAAAATTGTTTTCTTTAATTTTGTTCTGGATTCTGGTGATACGAAACATGTGAAACTGAATGCACTTATAGGCAGAAATAGCCATTGATGACCAGAACACACTGAGGTATTGATTTCTGGAGTTGTGGCAAACCAATTTAAATCCATCACTTTGCTAATGCCAAGTAATAGGACATGATCCACTTACCTACTAGAAGATTTTAGTTATTATTTAACAAAGATTGCAATTGTAAAAAAAATGAAAGTTTGAATTGTAAAATTGTAACAAGGAAAAGAATCAAATGAAATCATAATTACTTGAACTAATTTGGTATTTTTCAAATATGTAAATGCAACTTATTTCAATTAAAAGTGAAATTTCACACATTCTGATGATTTAAAAACTTGGATATGATATAAGTTAGTACTTTTTTTTATTGAAAAATATCATGTGGGTAAATGCTAATTTGTAGATTAAACTCTATATTTGCGTGAGCCCATGCATTTTCATATTATTCTTTGTCAACTTTTGAACAGCAATATTTTTTGAAACATCTGTTTTCTCAGTTTGAAACTCTTAATAACATATATTGAAAAGTACTGCACTTAACAGCTAACAATTTGACATTTTCGTTGACAAAAAATAATAGTAATGGACATTTCAACAAGAAAAAGCGAAGAATAATAATAAAAATAATCAAATAAGTATATACAGTAGTTAGTGTGGAGTATAATCACAATCACGTTTAAAAGAAACTTTTGTGAATGTGGTAGTTGAGATTGAGGACTATTCTCACCGAACCACAAAGTGCCAAATTTATTTTGGAATGCTAATTATGGAGATTCATAATACTGTACGTGGCCCTTGCACTTCTACAAAAATAGACACCGATTGACCAACTATAATACAAGACCTGATTAAATTTTTGTTTTTTAATAAAATGTAATTGACTGAGGTAATAAACCATCTATATAATTCATGTTATCTAAAAACTTTTCAAAAGTATTTGGCATAGGATAGTCACTTTTTTACTCTTCGACTTCATATTATGGACCACAAGTCCACAACATATATATCCGTACTATCGTTACATATCAAATATCTACAATCATTTTTCATATCCATCTTAAACTTCTATGAAATATAACATAACATTTAAGCTCATAATCAAAATATTACTTTAAGGGCAAACTAAGAAAATCGCTTATGTTCTCCGAGTGGTCTCAACATTTACTCTGGAGTTTGGGAAAATAATTCGAGTTATTTAATTACGATTTCAAAGTTATTATAGACGTAGGTAATGGTAAAAACACCTACTTTATTTAACAGATCTTGAAAATTAATTTATTATTATGAGATTGAAAACAAATTCTCAATTCATGATGATTTTTGGTTTAGAAATTTACTCGAAACTAATATGAGTTTCGTTTCAGAATCTCTCTTAAGTATATAATATAGGCATGGTATATCTTTTTTTTTTTTGTTCAAAAGGCATGGTATATCTCTCCCCAAAATATCAAAGGCACAAACCGACATCACCCACATAGTTACAACGTCTCATTGCTTGCTTTAAATATTCCAAATATTTATGAAACACACATCAAAAAAGAAAATTTGAATATTTAATGAGTTCACCTTATTTTTTTGCATTTGTTTGTAGGGTTTTAAACCAGATCCACCGACGCTTTCCAACCTTACATTTATATAAGTTTCACACAATGGTATAACTTACCACCGAAATCATAAAAGAAAAATAAACAAACTCATGGTATATCGTGACAATTCATTGTGATTTAACCTATCATATTCAATGAATTGTTCAAAATTTCTGCAGCTTCCCATTTGATTCGACAACAACGATCTGTTAAAGATTTGCCACCATTCTTGAAATATGAGAAAGAAAATTCATCCCTAAAACATGTTTTAGTAAAAAGAGACTTTTAGTTTCCTAAGTATGCAAAATGTTTTCGAAATTTCTTAGGTCTAAACAAAACATAAACAAAACATACTACCTAGGTGCATAAACAAAACATACTAATCATAAATGTTTAACTAAAGACAAACAAGTTATTAAACAGATAAATGAGTAATTTAAAACATAAACAAAACAAACGTGGTCAACACAAAAAACAAAAACAAATGTGTACAATATTTTTAAAATTGATGATGAGATGAAACGATAAAAGAAATGATTTTAGTTTCATTTTCATATGGAAATATCATATATTGATGTAATTTATTTTCTATAATTTTCTTTTCCTTACGTTTTATTCTGTTTTTCCATTTAATATTTTTTAATAATTTATTTCTGTGTAAAGCTAGTAGTACTTTTTTTCCAACCAAGAAATAAAAAAATATTTTCTCACTAATTAACTGATTATTTTTCATAAGTGAAATCGAAAACAGAACTGGCTGAATTGGCCACCTTTTTCGGAAAAACCTAAAAAAAGATGAAAAGTCTAATTCTTTTACCAGATCCACCAAACTCTCTCTACAACTAATCTCAGCCGTCCATCTAAACTCCCGCTTTTATCTATTTAACCTCACTCGCTACCTTTCGTTTCTCCTCGCACACTTACTCTCACATCTTCAATAATAGATCGGAGAAACCAAAACAAAATTCAAATCTATTCCAATGGCGTTGCTTGTGGAGAAAACCTCGAGTGGCCGTGAATACAAGGTCAAGGACATGTCTCAGGCCGATTTCGGCCGTCTCGAAATCGAGCTCGCCGAGGTCGAAATGCCCGGACTCGTCTCTTGCCGTACCGAATTCGGACCTTCTCAGCCATTGAAAGGAGCTAGAATCACCGGATCTCTTCACATGACGATCCAAACTGCCGTTCTCATCGAAACCCTAACCGCTCTCGGCGCCGAGGTCAGATGGTGCTCTTGCAACATCTTCTCCACCCAGGACCACGCCGCCGCCGCGATCGCTCGCGATTCCGCCGCCGTTTTCGCCTGGAAAGGGGAGACTCTTCAGGAATACTGGTGGTGCACTGAGAGAGCTCTCGATTGGGGTCCTGGAGGCGGTCCTGATCTCATCGTCGACGACGGTGGTGACGCGACGCTCTTGATCCATGAAGGAGTCAAGGCTGAGGAGATCTTCGCGAAGACCGGTCAGTTTCCAGATCCGACTTCCACCGATAATCCTGAGTTCCAGATCGTGTTGTCGATCATCAAAGATGGTCTTCAGGTTGATCCTAAGAAGTATCACAAGATGAAGGAGAGATTAGTCGGTGTTTCGGAGGAGACGACCACTGGTGTTAAGAGGCTTTACCAGATGCAGGAGACTGGTACTCTCTTGTTCCCTGCCATTAACGTCAACGATTCCGTCACCAAGAGCAAGGTACTCGATTTCTTCCTCTCCAATAATCAATTTCCAAGCTCAAATTTGGCCAAATCTTTACCAATTTATAACTCTAGAAGACTAGATCTGATTCAATTACCAAAATGCGGTTGATTTTGTCAATTTTGTGTGTTAATATCGTTTGAGTATTGATCCATTTGTTTTAGCTGTAATTCTCTATGTGTTATCACTGATAATTCTCGAATTTGCCAAATCTTTACCAACTTCTAGCTCTAGAAGACTAGATCTGATTCTTGTAACAAACTGTTTTGCCCAATATGAAAAAAGGATTTTTGTGTCCATGTTTCAATTTTGAGTGTGTTCGTGTGTTCTGATTATTGATCCATATATGTGGAAGCAAGAATGTTTGCCTTTTTAGCTGTATTTTCTCTGTGTGTTTATTATCACTGATGATTGGCTTCTTTGCAGTTCGACAACTTGTATGGATGTCGTCACTCTCTCCCTGACGGTCTCATGAGAGCCACTGATGTCATGATCGCCGGAAAGGTCGCTGTTATCTGCGGTTACGGTGACGTCGGAAAGGGTTGTGCTGCAGCCATGAAAACCGCCGGTGCACGTGTCATCGTCACCGAGATCGACCCGATCTGTGCGCTTCAAGCTCTCATGGAAGGCCTACAAGTTCTAACCCTCGAGGACGTTCTCTCGGAAGCTGACATCTTTGTCACCACCACTGGAAACAAAGACATCATCATGGTCGACCACATGAGGAAGATGAAGAACAACGCCATAGTCTGCAACATTGGTCACTTCGACAACGAGATCGACATGCTCGGGCTCGAGACTTTCCCTGGTGTGAAACGCATCACCATTAAGCCGCAGACCGACAGGTGGGTGTTCCCGGACACCAAGACAGGCATCATTGTGTTAGCCGAAGGTCGTCTGATGAACTTGGGATGTGCCACTGGACACCCGAGTTTCGTGATGTCGTGCTCGTTCACAAACCAGGTGATTGCACAGCTTGAGCTATGGAACGAGAAGTCGAGCGGGAAGTATGAGAAGAAGGTGTATGTTTTGCCTAAGCACTTGGACGAGAAAGTGGCTGCACTTCACTTGGGCAAGCTCGGTGCTAGACTCACCAAGCTTACCAAGGACCAATCTGACTATGTCAGCATACCCATTGAAGGTCCCTACAAGCCTGTTCACTACAGGTACTGAGAAGAAGAAGCAAAGCAGAAAAAAAAGAGGCCAAAGCTTTGGTTTTATGGTTAAAGGCCGTTTATTGGCTATGCTATAATCCTAATGGCATTTAATTATTTGAGTTGGTTCGGGTCTGGTTTGGTTGGGAAAATTTGAGGTGATTGGTCTTCTGATTAGGTTGATCAAATATTGGTATGAATAAGGGGTTGTTGTTCTTGGTTTTGAGAGGCTTCTTTTTGTTTTTTTTTTTTTTGTTTTTGTTTTTTTTATTTATATATTATCTCAAGATAAATTAGTTTTTGTTTTACACTGTTTGTTAGGCTTATTTATGCGATGTTCTGTTTACCGGTTTACTTTTCAGAACACAAGTGAGAAAACAAGATACGTAAAGTTATTTTGGCAATATTAGTGGAAAATCTTGTCTTCTTTGAATTGTATGTATGCTGAGGAGTGAGGAGGATGGTCAATCCAAACATTCAACTTTTGACCTTTGAATCGCCTCAAGAATTTTTTTCCTTTAATTTTACACGACTCAGCGATTTATCTTTTCTGAATTGATTAAAATGCCTTGTGTTGTGGATAAATAATGACGAAACCTGAAATCGGAAACAAACGATGTTCGAATTCAAGATTTTTGCTGAATTTAAGAAGCCAATATCCTCAAAAAACTACTATGACAAATTCATTTCTTCACTAGAGAGCAGAGGATTAGGCAGTTTTTGATCCAGAAGACGCAGGCTTAAAATTAGAGTCTGTATATTGTTTTTGATTAGAGAGATTGTTCTGATAACATATTATTTATTTGAACATTACAGTTTGTTTTTTCTTTTTATAAAGAAAACACAATGAACCAATTCCTTCTCTGAATCATACAAACTAAAGCCATGACTAAGCTGAAGCAAACTCTGTGTTCAATGGAGAACTCAATAGTCATGTTCTTGAACTTGCAAGAATGACCAAATCAAGCTTTCTTAACTTAATGAGAGAAACAACCCAGTTATTTTGCAGCATATATACTCATCTCTATTGCTACTTCTCTCCAGTCAAGAAACGTCTAAATTCAATCTAGAAATCTAAATTATCCCACAACAACAATATAAGAACCATTTCAAATTATCCACAAACCCTGCACTTGCAATAATATTGGTCCAACTTTATCCAAAAATTTCAACAGTCTTCCATCTATCAATTAACTCAACACTTGCAATAATATTAGAAAATACCAATTATTCCAACATTGATTATACATTTAATTAAAGCCTTCTACTGTAAAACAACAACATTACAAAAACAAATAAGTTTTTTACTTGCCTCATCCTTTGAGAGAGAGAGCATTTCCACAAACTCATCATCAAGATCCGCATTTAAAAAAAAAATGTTTCAGGTCTTGATGTCGCTAGTGTCTCTAGCACACCTAGTAATGATGTTACATCCTCTACTGTAAGAATTGGCTTGTCCTGATCGACAAGCGTAGTAAGAAGCACCTGGTTTCTGACAAGGAACCATGTCTCTTCTTAGCGTTCCGTAGCTTATGTACTGTTTCCTCATCATCATTACTCTCCGGCTTAACTCCGATGGCATCATCATCTCCTCTCCTTCTTCTTCTCCGATTACGCCGTTCCGGTCAAGCATTGCCTCGGTTTCTCCGTTCACCGACGACATCGGAATCTCGACGGAGATTGAGAGATGGGTCTGAAAGAAAAGTATGGATAAGTAAACGAGAGCTAAAGATCTCGACATTGTCGGTGTTTGGAAAATTTTGGTAGATGTGGTGATCTATTGAATTTTCTCTGCGTTACAAACTCCAAGTGTAGCTAGCTTTCTTGGGGTTGTTAAACCGGTCGGTTTAAAGATAGAATCTAACTCTGAACTGTTACGTCCAAGTATTAAATTAATCAGATCTATTTTTGTTTTCATTGGGTTTCTTTCTCTCTTTAATGTTCTTAATTATTGTGGTCAGACAACAGACACTTGGTTCCTTTGAGAATTCATGATTAATTGTTGTTTTCCTTTCCAACTATATATTTATATACTAAACTTTGTTTTGTTGTATAATCATGTCGACTTAGGATATTACTAATTTTTGAAATAATTCGTTATAGAAATAGAATATAGTTTTCAAAATCAGCATGTTTAAATGTAGTGAGATGATTTTTTTTTTAAAAAGAGATAATCCAACATTCTAATTTGTTTTTAATTCATAAGAAGAAATTAACAAGTAAATACTTTGGAGGGTCATTAACTCATTATGATTAATATGTGGGGTTTGGGGAGTAAAAGAGATAATTAAGGCGTTAGTGTCATGCCACCAAACAAGTTCAACAACCCAACTACATCTTGCTTAGCTGTTTTCATTGACCCTACACACTATATTTTTTTTTGCTTCACACCAAAGCATCAATATGTTTACATCATTGCTTAAATCAAAAGGTTAAAAAAACCCATAATATTATCATTAGAAAACCATTTTCTACAGAGCTTATTTATATTTCTTTCAGTTTAGGTATTTTAATAGGAAAAATCAGTAAATTGGGGGATAGAATAGTTTTTGTTGTTTCCCTTGCTAACAAATGCAAATAACACAAGAAAATGAAGTTTAAGTCTTCTTATAGACTCGTTTCCTATGCTTTACTGACTTCATTTTCTCTTCTCTATGTTCCAATTCATCAACTTCAAGTTGTCATGTGTTTAACTCAAATCAAGTATGAGATCAATAATGGTCAACCGGTCTAATACGAGCCGGACAAAGCCGCCGATAATTATACAAGCCAATAAATTAGTATACAGAATGAAGTATTTTCTTTGCGTTAATCTAAAAATATAGAGTTAATAATATATGTAGCCCACCTTGTTTTGTAAATGTCCACAGTATTAATAAAAGGAAAGCTCACCCAAAAGAGAACCAAATAGAAAACCCGAATTATGCCCAACAAGTAGTAAAGTCTAGGAAGTAGGAAATCTGACCACAATCAGCGACCACGACAGGCTTATAAGGCGTTCCTTGAACGGATCTGAACTTGAGAACACATCATTTTTTTTTCCTGTTTTTTTGTCTATTTGAGAACACATCAAAAACAAAATCGATTATTTTTGACACAACTTTATTTCTATGAATGGTCCTACGAGTATAGTACCCTTTAAAACGATATTTTGAAGGAGATATCATTTGTGACAACCTAACAAAATAAACACTTTTTCATAATTGGAGATGATTATGGCATTTGCTTCCATATAAAAGTAAGGTGATACTAACATTGCCGCATATGAAGAAAGAAATTAGTTACATAATAGAAAATAATTAAGAAAAAGGGTCTGTAGCAAACTAGCAATAACCATAAAATGGTCTGTATTCACGAAATGCCAAAAAAGAAGAAGTAATCAAAATGCTTTTACTATACACGCTGGAGAGAGCACAACCACACGTATTAAGGAGCTGCAAGTTCCAAGCTAAAAGATACAGACAAGTCATCACTTGTTCCCAATTTGTTGTTGTTTTTTTTGCAAAAAACTAGTTTGGTGTATAGGCATATGAGGATTGATACTGTTACAGATTGCCATGATATAATGTATAGTTAACGAAGAATGGGTTTTCAACTAAGGTTCACGACATGTTAAAAAAAAAAACACTGATGAGAATTTTTCAAAACATATTCTAGAAGTTTATGCATATCCGTTATTCAATGGTAGCCAATTTAAAAATAGAAGGTAAACAACACCAAACAAAGAACAAAAAAAAGAAAACTTTTAAACAACACAAGTTGCCACCTGAAGTTAGGATAAAATCACTAAAAAAAAAATACTATTTCATACAGAGTCGAACCATCATAAATTGATACTCCTAAACCGTAGAAAATATTTTTAATGGATTTTCGAAGGATATAAATTTTTTTAATTAAAAAATCTAAAGTCAAAAATGAAAATTATATTATAGTAAAAAACTCGTATTAAATTTAAAAGGTTTTTGAAATTTGGAAATTATAACAAAACTAAAAACAAAACAAAATCATACTAAATCTGGCGGGAAATCCAGGAATTTTGATTTAATGAAATCATACTCGTGAGATTTGCCTTCGTAGTGGTGAGCTCTTGTTGCGTACTGACAAACCGCTCTTCTGTGTCTGTTTTTGATACTTCCAAAGCAAGCACTTTCTCATGGAGCCCTTTGCTCACTCGAATCAAGTCTTCGTCGTGCAGCCTTACCCAACCCCGGTCGATGTCCTTTGTGAACGGGTACCTCCAGCAGAGAAAACAAAATTTAGAACATAACATAACTATGATCTAAAGTGAAATATAAAATGTTATAATCAAATTACCCGACAAGTGCCTTCTCCTTGTCCATTTCTCTGACCCATGGCCTGTTCTGCCAGTGCTCTCTCCAACTCCGCGATCTTCATATGTGCGGCTCGCAACTCATCTCCCAACTTAAAACATTTTAGTAGTTCCAAGTTCCTGGATGATTAACAAACAAAAAAACCAGTAAAATATATTAAATAACTAAAAAGTAGATATGAAAACGTACGTAAAATACTTTTAACTAGCCACAAGCGAACGATATGATTATATATTATCCTAAACTGGTATATATAAGTTATAGGTTGCCATGGAGAGGACACCTGGACGGTCGTGCTTCCTGACGAAGTTCTCGTCCGGGAAACGAGGGCCGTAGATGGATTTGCCTCCTGATCCGTCTCCGTGAGTGACAGGAGGCTAGCTATATATGAAACATTCTTATCAAATTATGAGGAAATGAGTATTTACAAATCCCGTATTCCTCTCGTTCTTCATTTCTAAACATTGATAGCACAATACAAAGTTTACAACCATGAGTTACCACTTACCAAACGCTAGCTAAACAATGAGTTCGTACTATCGCTTCACGTTCAATGGACCTTAAGTGATCTTAGGGGCATCGTTTCCTAAGGCCAAGGCATGACTTCTCTTTTGGATTTGCCGACCAATGTGTAGTTGACCGGTTAAAAACAGGGTTTTTGATGTTGTACTGATGAAAACCTCCATGAAGCCAGGAGGTACTACTACTAATGAGGAAGACAAGTTTTGGTCTAAGAATATATAATTCATAAACATGTATTAACAAGTAAAAAAAAACTAGAAAATCAATCTTTATGAAACTGATGGAGTATACACTTTTGAAGCTTATATACTAACCGTTATCTCAGATAGCTGCGCATGAAACTTAACGGCCGTAGGGATTCAAAGAATTGCAAAAAAATGTATTATTTTCAATATATATATATATATATATATATATTATGTAGTAAACACTTAAAAGCTAGTACAAATCAAGGAAGCAAATGTAAGATCAATAAGAATGACGTTTACAACGGTAGATCTTAGAGCAGCCTCTAGTGTAGTGATTGCTCGGCTGAGGAAGACAAGTTTTGGTGTAAGAGCTCTTCCACAAGCCGGCTGGTCCGGTTTAAGAGCTCCGTACAAAATCCGTTTCTTCTCCTCCATGAACCTATGGCTAACCCATGATTCCATCATCATCATCATCTCTCCTTCTGCCTCTACCGAGCTATTGCATGGAGGTTCAGCGGCACGTGCAAGACACACGAGACTGATCATGAACGTGATTGTCATCAAGAACTTAGAGTGTGTTTTCATTTGCCCCTCCGGTGTGTCGGTATCTGTAAAGGGAATGTTGTTAATGCCAATGTTTATGATTAGTTACATTCGTAATAAATAGATTTTATGTTTGCGGATGCAGCTATTACTCGGGAGATCCTACTTCACCTAACATGGAGGCAATTAATTTTGTCCTTGTTAATTTAGTACATATATCATCATATTATATATCATCATATTATGTTACGACTTAGATTAATATGCATGTCCTTTTTTTTCCCTTGTCATTTATACGTCTATTTTTGTTTGATTTATATGATCATTTACAAATTTGATTACACCAAATTTCGAACTTATAAAAAAATTATACTTCATACGCAATATAGTATATAGTATACCACCATAATGTCATCAAATAGTACATACATAGCTTTTCACTTTACAGGCCAATTCTACTAGTCTACTACAAGTACCACTAAACAGTCTCTCTTCACAATTTGCCAATTCATTTTTTGTCCTCTTATACTCACTTTTAAACCACAATTCAATTCACACTTTTCATATCCTTTTACTTGTGTCGATATTTTTATGTTTCATGCTTATTACAGACGACACCCGATCATTATAATATACATTCTTGATTATAAATTCTTACATCCACATCAGTTATGCGTGCTGTGATAGAAATCCATAAAAAGTTTCAACATTTATTATATGTTCACACAAACCCATAAAAAGTTTGAATTGCGTTCCAAATTCCCATAGAAATCGTTTGTGTAGTGAAAAAAAAAGAGAGAGCTAAACCCAGATATCGGAGGTGCAGTCTCCGCCAGGATATCTCATCTCGTGAGCGAGTGCAGGACCATCCGGTTCAGACCCAAAGTCGACGAAGAAATTAGGGTTTATGGAGAGACCACCTTTGTCTATGTCAACATCAATCTGCAACATGTGTGAGCCTTTCTCCACAAGCTCTGGGTAAAACTGTTTGTCCCAAACACTAAACAACGAGTTCGTCACGTACAATCGCTTCCCGTCTAGGCTCAGCTGAAACATCTGAGGACCTCCTCTCAGACGCTGATCCTAAAAATAAAAACCAATAAACACATGCATTAATAATTACAATACCGTGTAGAACAAGTAACATGACTAATATATGTTTCAACGGACCTTGATCTCAGGTATATCGAACTGAAAGGTATTGCCTTCTTCTCCAAAGGCCAAGACATGGCTTCCTTTTTGTATTAGCCCGCCTACGTGTAGTTGACCGGTTAAAACCGGGTTTTTAGGGTCCTCGATGTTGTATTGACGAATATCTCCGTGAAGCCAGTTGGAAAAATAGAGGAATCGGTCGTCGAGTGATATTAAGAAGTCGGTGATAAGCCCTGGCATTTCAGGGAGGATCCAGTTTTCAACTTTCAGAGGTTCCACCGAAATCGCCACCTTCAAAAACGGAGCTTGTTGATAAGATAAACCAAAAGAAATGAATAAGATTCATAAATGATGTGGAAAGTATACTGTATACCTCGTGGCTCCATGTTTCATCCTCGTTCTTGAAGAACCTCACTATAGTACTTGACAACGCACATCCTGAAAATCCCATAGCTTTATCCGGGTCATGCAAGAATCTTATCTGCATCAGAAAATAGAGCAGGATGAAGACGCGGTTTTATTACTTGTGGAGGAAGAAACCAGTATCTGTATGTAGAAGCTGAGATTGGAAGCTTAGGGCCTACCTCTAAGGGTAAAAGACCGGTATCACCAAGGTCAAGTATCTGTTTCAGTTCACCTTCGGGCCAACTATAGACATGTAGATGTTTTCCATACAAGCCATCAGAGACGTCTTTTAGATCAAAGCCTTTGGTAAATGCGGCCGGTGCTCCCCAAGAGGTACTGATCATTGTCTTGTGCCGAGGTTGGTACCAGAAATCATACCCAAACAAAGGACTGTTTCCTTCTTTCTCCCACCTATTTTTAACAAAAGTTAAACCGAGGTTACTCAAAACCTTAAAAGATTAGGTTTTGCTCATCTTTCTTGCCATCCACGAAAACAGTACTAATTTGTCATCAAAGTTACCTTCCTTTGACGTTAAAGTCGGAATCAAGTAGGAGAAACCCACTGCCTCCTGCGTTTCCATCTTTGTCCCCAAGACAAGACACAAGCAGATCTCCAGAGGCTAAACAATGCGGTTGATGCGGATAAGCTAATCCCGTCTTCTCCAAAACCTCTGCAGGCTCTACCACTCTGTACAGAGATGGTTCCTTCGGGTTTGTTTTAGTATCAATCACGTAGATACGACCAGACCTTTTCCAACAAGTTATAGATGAGAACACAAAACATAATCAACTTTTCAGAGCTAGAAAAACAGAGGAAAGGAGTTGTTTTAGTTTCTTACAGAAGAGAGGGCAAGATGAGATAACGTCTATCGCAAGAAGGGTCACTATAGCAAGAGCTGCACGAGTTCCAGCCTGAGTGATGAAGCTCGTCTCCAAGATAAGGCATTGATAATCTATGGATGACACTAGAGTATGTCGATGAACTCGGATCCACATCTACCGTTGCTAAGTAATCTGGCTTGTCTTGACCGGTTCCTGGACCAAAACAGTTACAGAGAAGTTTGTATATTGTACTGAGAAGACGACCACTTATTATATAAGTTTGAGATCCAGAACAAATCTTAATGAAAGTAGATTTTCTTTTGAGACTCTTCATTTCAACACTTTATATCTAAAAGAGCATCAAATTAATTACCGGTGTATATGGCAGCGACATAAATGAGTTTCTCGCGTGGACCAGACATTGCGAGGAGAGGCGTGGCGTAACCCGGCCCGTTCTTGCAGCAATCTCCACCGTGGTTGCTCGCTGCCATCACCACGTCTCTCTGTTTCCTCTACCAAGCTGGCTTAGTAATAATATAGCTGCTGCTGTTTTCAATGATTGCTTGCATTTAACTCGATATATTCTGCAAGTAGGAGTAAACTAATATACGTATTAATTAAAGCGTCTTCTTAATTTGTTTTCGGCCGGCCAACATATTATATTTTGATCTATTAAGTGATACAACAAATCCACAGAGATTAAACAAAAGAGCCACTAAAAAGCAGAAAACCAACCCACTAAAGAATAAATAACACAAAACTACATAATTAGGTGTTTCCCCAACAGCCAAATTTGGAAAGATTCATTTCATTACCATATTCATTCCATTTATTCGGTGAAAACGAAATCAGAATATTACCATGAAAGCTGTATCTCAATGACAAATCTCTGATCAATACAACAATGGAGGCAGACAAAATAAAACCTAGAATAAAAATATAAAAATAACATAAAAACACAAAAAAAACACACTAAATGTTAATAAATTACACATGACATGCCACTAATTAAACTAACTGATGTGCCACGTGGTCCATGAAGCCGAGAGATGTCGAGTCATCATCAGACCCATCTCAAATCGGATTTTTTTCCAACCCTAGTCGACGATAAAGAAGCAGCATCTTTATTTAAAAAACCACGTAGGTACTTTTTTTTTTTTGTCGGCTAACCACGTAGGTACTAATCATTTGTTTTACGGATTCTTTTTCTTATATAAAGAAACAACTAGTTCCATATCAAAATGAAATAACATATATTTATAGTTCACCTAATCAAAGCTTTACGCAAGTTGCAATATAATATAGTAGTATCAACAACTACCAATCCACCCAACATATAAGCTTAGATTAGCTCAAAGCCTCAAATCTTTGGTTCATAAACTGGTTTAATCGACCAACAGATTAATAAAAGAACACAAAAACTTGGAATGGTTAATTACCAAATAATACCATACAACTGGTGTGCTTTACTCATTTTTTTATTAATACCTGAACCGATGTTTGTAGTTTATATTAACAAGGGAGTGAGAACCGGTCCAGAGTTTTGCTAATCCTTAACAAAGTAAAGCTAAAAAATATGACGCTAAAATGTCTAGTCTACTTGTAGAGTCTATCTATCTCATCTTTGTATTGATCAACCACCTTGTCCCGTCTTATTTTCATTGTTGGTGTCATGAAACCGTTGTCTATCTGCAATGAGATTCATAAAATGTTCACAAGAGCAGGCAAAGGACATGATTATCAATGAGACCGAACCAAAAAAAAAAAAAACATACCGTGAAGGGCTCATCCACGATCAGAACCGGTCCAACTTGGAACGAGCATTCTGATGTCCTGCATGAAAATGTAAACTATACACTTAATGCTTTTGAGAAGGAGCCAAACGCTCTAAGTGTAACAATAGGTTTTAAACCATTACCATTTCCTCAGTTCTTCGTAGACCATGCTCGTTATCGTTTCCTTGCTAAGTTCGTTGACTTCAGGATCTACAGGTGATATTTTCTGCTTTGCTGCTCCTTCTGCTACTTCTTTGTTTGGGATAACAATAGCTCCAAGGCGGCGTTGGTCCTGAGGACACATCAAATCCGAAAGAATAAATAAGTGAAATAGCCCACAATACTATTTGTTCCTAAATTAAACTATTAAACAAGTACCTGTCCAATAACAACTATTTGGTGAATCAAGTTGCTTCTCATGGCCGCTTCTTCAATCTCCAATGGTTCCACGTTTTCACCTACATCCAACAAACTGCTATCAAAACGCAACATTTTTTTTGCAGCAAGGCAGTTTCAGTTCACTTGTGTTCATTTTCTGAGGAACCGGCTTATATGATATACCTGTGGAAAGAACAATTGTGTCCTTGGCACGGCCTTCAAGAACGATGACACCTCCGCAGCTACGACTCCTTCCTGTTGAGTGATGAGGAGCAATCCAGCCCATATCTCCAGTATTTAACCATCCATCCTCATCTATAACTTGCTTGGTGGCCAGTGGATTCTGAGCATATCAAAAAGAAAAGATTAGTTAATCTGATCTAATCACCAAAACCAAAAGCATTCATTCTAAACACACAGAATGTTTTAGGAGTCAACAAATGTTGCAATAAAGAAAGGAAAATGGACTGCAGGTATTCTATATTTCACATGGGATTTATGAGATCAAGATGAAAAGAGTTTCACATAAACTAGTTAAGATGAGGTAGACTAGAAAACATCGATAATTACAGACTTGAGTTAGTTCTTCTTTAAGAAAACAGAGGTGAAGAAGAAACATCAGATGCTATACAGTATCGATAAGCAAACCGACTATGGAAGCAAATATATAATATACTCATGAAGAGAAAACTTGAACTGCTTTGTCAAAGATAAACAAAGAGCATAAAGTGTGTATCACCTTATAGTAACCTTTCATAACCGGCGGGCCTCTGACTTTGACAATGCCCTTTGAACCAGGTGGAAGAACAGTACCAGTCTCATTATCTACAATTTTGAATTCTGTATCTTTAATAGGATGTCCAACTGTGCCAAGAACCTACATAAAAAGGTACCAAATTACAATATCAACTAGTTGATATACTTCAAGAAATTATGAAATGATGAATGATATATAAACAGAAAAGAATGGAGAATTGTAATGTCATATATACAGTATTTTCCTAGATGGATTCTTTAATAGCTCTTTTGGACTAATTTGTGACCCCAAACATTTGGTGCAAGATGAGACCTTATCATCCCATGATCTCAAACTTACATTACACCTAAGCCTCCGAGCAGAGATAACCGGTGAGGTTTCTGTCAAACCATACCCATTTTGTACATTCACACCGATGGCCTGCGCAAAGAACAAAGTCTATTTACATATGGACAAAGAGTACCTTGTTTGATGCCAAAGAAAACATATTTGTCGTCTAACCTCGAAGAACTTGTCAACATGCATAGGTAAACTGCCACCTCCACTAACACCAGCCTGGAAGAAACAAATGATGAATTGCAAGTCATTCTTGCAATCTTTCTTGCAATCTTTCTTGTAAGATAAAAGAAGGTTGTGAAACTACCTTTGATATTCCAATTGAGGAACGGATTTTTTGGTGCACAAGCTTTTCAGCCAACATATGCAATGGCCATAGGACAAATGCAGCTACTCTTGCCCACAACCAATCCACCAAAGAGACAATATACATTGGAGGCTTTTCATTTTTCGTCAAACAGAGACCCTGTACACCAGAGCAAAGAACTTGTGATGACTCCAAGCATCACATATAGGAAACAAGCAGAAAAAATATTTTAACCAGCACAATATACAAAAGAGGACATCATACGAGTCATGAACCTCGTAAATTCTTCTCATCTCCATATATGCCAGGCTGATTTTGATCAATGTAAGCGCCAAAAACTTACGAGTAGCGGAGCTTGTAGAAATTTGCTTTTGAATCCCGCTGCAATTCACAGAAAAACAGAAAAATATGTTTAGCTTAAGAGCCTCTCGACTGCGAGAGATGGCTTTAAAATATGTAAACACATGTGCATATGCTCATAAACTCTTATCAGTAAGCTTCTGTATCAATAGAACCTATCTGAAAGTATCTTTGTGAAACAGTTTTACTTGTAAAGTAGTATACCTGTAGAGTGTCTCATATACTAAAGGAACTGAAATAAGATAGTGTGGCTGATACCGCTTGAGATCATCCTATACCAGAACAATAAAAAATATAAGATGTTTCAAAGCTAAAATACTTTGACTTAAGATGCAAAGTTTAATCTTCTCCCATTTTCAAGAATGCTTCTTTATAATGTCAGGGTGTAACATATAACATAGAGAGGCTTTACCTTTAAGAATCTTATAGACGTATACTTTTGCTCAACTCCACATGTAAATATGAAGTATTCACAAGCCCGTTCATAGGCATGCCAAGAAGGCAGCATACTTAGAAATCTTTCACCAGCTTTAGCTGGCACAAACTCGGATAAATTTTTTATCTGATTCAAGAAACAAAATTAACTTTTTTTCAGAACGTAATAGCAAACTCAGTATTTTACTAATGATGACATAAATATTGGTTTGATTCTTGAACCTGGTGTAACAAATTCTGATGTGTAAGCATGACACCTTTTGGATTTCCCGTGGTTCCGCTGGTATACATGATCGTGGCTGTATCATCTGGATCGATGAATTCATATTCATACTTACCAGCATCCTTTGATCCTGCAAATTTTGCTCGTCTCTCCTGTCCTAATTTTTTAATTTCGTTGTAACTATACACTGGTGTCTGCCTATTCGTTGTAACCAACGACGATTTGTCCCCCCAGAGAAGTATCACAAATCTTAGAGGTGCCTTGTAAGTAAACGGCTCAGCTATGCGGTTGAAAAACTCAGGGTTATCCACAACAAGAGCTACACTGCAAGACAAGGCACTATAAGTTATCAAAACAAGGAACTAATAAACCATTAGCTACATGAGTTGAGGCAGTACACATAATATTAAAGGACCAAAGACTTATGTCTCTGTCATTCAAGAATATCCTTGACTAGTTACACCTTTATTGAAGAACGACAAGAAATTGTCTAAAACTACACCTAATCAAGACTGGGGATCACTATTACACCAAATGAAACCTCTCTTTGGACTCAACAAGACAGCTAGATGAAATCTGATTAGTTATTATTAGATGAAATCTTATCTCCTTGAGATTTCTTTTGAAACTCTGGTCAGATATTTATTGAAAAAAGCTTTTTAAACAATCCCAATCTTTTGTCTTTATCATCACCAATAGCAATATAGCATGAACCAACCAACTCTTAGGCGTACCTTTCTGAATGACAGTATATCTGCAATAACTCTTCAACAGAGGATCTGGATCCTCTAACAACATTGACTGCTCCTGTTGCCATTATACCTGGCACATAAAGTTGTAAAGGGTACGTAAACATACTAATTACCTGCGTAAAAAGAAAGAAAAAAAAAATCGAAGAACCGAAGGAAATAATTAGAATTATTATTGCAGTAAAGAAGGGTTGCTAAAACAACAGAGAACAGAGAGATATTATTTAGGTGTTTTGATGGGTGAAGCACAACAAAGTTATAAAGTAAGAAAAGCAAAGAGCAGAAACAGCCAGAAACATATCTCGACAGATCATTGGTTCTCTCTGGAATGAAAATGGCCAAGATGGTTAATGTATTAAAGCTTAATCTTCCAAGTTTATTGGCGCCGTCCAATAACGGTCAAGGCTCTCAAGTGTTGAGCAAGATTATGTAATAGAAAGTGATTTTCGGACCAGCTCTGTATAATCAACCATGTTACCTTGATCAGCAACAAGCCACCGACAGGAGTTATCAGCGAAAAGTGCAATCTTCTCATCTGCTTTCCCTCCAACGGCTCGCAAACCCTCAACAAAGTCCAATATTTCTTCTTCCAACTGCAGTTTCAAGATAATTCTAAATCAAAGCTCATCCAAAAATGTAACATCACTGAGAAATTCAAAAGCAAATCAACTACCTATCTCAGAACACAACGATTTATCAAATTATCATCTTAGGTGGAAAAACCAGCTTAAAAAGCTACAAAGATAAATGTGATGTAAACATACTAACACCTAAAAAAACTCTGTTTCAAAAGTAGGAGGATCCTTACATAATAGAAGAACAAGTGAAACAAGCAATGAGATGCCAAAACAACACTGCTAAATAAGAAATCTACCTGTTTGTAAGTGAATGTAGAAGGAGGGTCATGATAAGGATCAATCACAGCAACTCTGTCACCAAACTTCTCCGCAGATGATCTCCAAATATCAGAAACAGCCTTCCATTCATTTGACCGCAAAGCGGCAGGCAATGATGAGCGTTCCAAGAATGGTGAACAGCGCCTTAGCTCTTTCTCCTGAACCTATAAGAAAGGTACACAATTTGAATGTTACAGATCATGTTCAGGAAAGGTTGATTTATAATGACAATAATACGGTTTTGAATATGTCAAAATACAGGTCAGAGAATTTTGAAAAAACTATAAAGAGAAGTTTCAGGAATTAGGCTCTTCAAAACCTGATGATGATCAGAAGCAATTCAGCTTTCATACGACCTAAACTAGTCTTGTGTAGTGCAAAGCTAAACTTTTGACCATCCCTAAAGTCAATCCTCAGCAGATACTATTTACTCAAATTACTTCTAAAACCAAAGTCACCGAGAAAATACTAAACTTTTTTTTGGATTTGTGGGAATTAATATTTGCTTATCTTCAGTTTCGACAAACAAATAGAGTGAATAACTTTGCTGAGTTCTAAACTCAATTAAAATTTCTACAAACCCAAACAAAAAGGTTGGATTTTTAGAACTAATAATCACTCAAACCAAAAGAGTGAATTGGTCAAAGGAAGAAAACCAGAAAAAGGAACAAACTTTTACTTAAGTGATTAAAGAACTCACCGTGGACTCGCAGCGAAGTCGAGAAATCCGGCGTGAAGAAACACAAATCCGGTGGGCAAGAAGACCCTTGAAATTCCGGTGAGAATCTTGAAATTCAAGAGGAGAGGAGAAGAATCTCGAAACGAGAATCGAAGGTGCCAGAGACGTTGACGCCATGGCTGAGAGAGAGGAGGAAGAAAGGGTTAGTGGTGTTAGCGTGAAGATGAGAGAAAGAGAAGGAGAAAGATGAAGAAGCAAGTAACATAGAAAAGGACGAGAGGAGCATGTCGATATCGTGATTACGATTATCACAAGAAAAACAAAAAAAAGAAAGAAAGAAAGAAAAGACCAGTTGGTTGGCACCGCTGCAGAAGCATGGCAACTTCAGAATACACAAACAGAGGCGATACTTACACGAATATAAGAATTTTATTTTAGTTTTATATTTTTTTTTTATTACCGTTCTCTCTGACTCACTTACAATGTTTTTTTTAATTTTGTTGTGTCTTTTTTATATTTTACCTTATAAATGAATTCTGCATACCAAAACTATGATGTTTATAAAGTTCAATCTAGCCATAATTAATATAATTTTATTAGTTCCCAAATTTGGTGATTTTCCTATAATTTTATTTCCAAATATAGTACGCAATGTTTTTTTTTTTGTCAACACAGTACGCAATGTTTATTTTTAAACAGTAGATTCTTTTTTTTTTTAATGTTAAAAAAAAATTAGAACTTGTAAATGATGACAAGTGCATTTTAAATGTTTAACTAAGATACTTTTGTGGAATTTTGATGATGTTCTCGTAAAGTGTGAATCTATGAAGAAACTTTGTTTCTGAACCAAATATTTCAAGACAAGGATAAAAAAAAGGTGGTCCTCTAGTGGATAACTCATGAGTTTATTTTGCATTTTTATACCGAAAGAAACGAATGTTTTTTTTTTTTCTAAATAAAAGAAACGAATGTTTGCGGCTTTTCTTTTTAAAATAATTATCTTAAAAAAAAAAAGTCAAAGCATCTTAAATCATTGATATATTACTGGATAGATGAGGCATGAAACAGGATTTAATAGTCGCTTAAAAATTTTAACTGGTTATTTGATCTTTCTTAAGAATCTCTCAGCAAAGTGAAACAAAGGAGTAAAAACTTGGAATAAAAAGGAAATCAATAATTATCAAGCATTATAATAATTTTGACTTAATACAAATGAGTTTCAGCTTGATCTTCTTTTTAATCCTTCTTCCACACGCCTGAGTCTTGAGGCAGGATCTCACAGGGAAACGCTAGGGAACTTGCAACGCTCATTTCCTAAAAAAATGTTCATAAAAAAGTATTTAACTCATTCCTTAAACAAACCACAATTTGCATATAGTTTTCTTGTGAGACAACTAATAAAAAAAAAAAACTCACCAGGGTTGGTCGTTGTCTCACGCGCCAAGCCATTGAAGTAGCAACGAGAGCTTTGGTTCCTGAACTGAGCCCAATACGAGCTAAATGCATAGCTTGCGTGCCAAGTAACCGAAACCGGCGCGTAACACTCTCTTCCCGGCGCCAAAGCTGCACATGTAACGTTGCTTCTTCCGCAAGCAAACTCAAGCGCTTGCCCTAACTCAGCCTCGCTGGCTCCTTCGACCACCACACACCAAACATTCCCTTTGAACGGAACATTGTTACTCGGTTTAGGCATCGAACCGAAACTGTTAACCTGTCTCGTCCCGCTGAAATCGATTTCGTAGATTCGTGTACCGTCCGGGTTCAAAATCCCCCAATGCCTCTCGGTTCCCGAACCGGGTTTCTGGTTTTCATTGAACAATGAAAACAAAAACGTCGGTATAGGCGAACCGCGTCTAGCTGGTGTACCGAGCGGCGGGTTAGCAGTCATCTTCTTAATCAAATTCCGGTTATACGTCGCCGCGTTGGGAACATTGGCTCCGGTTTCGTCGATATCTCCGGCATTAGGCCACCCGGTTTCGGAAATCGCGAGCCGGATGTTTGGATAACCGAGCTTGGTCATCGCGAAGATAACCGAATCGAGCATCTGGTCTAGAAGATTAGTGTAAACCAAACCGGATTGAGGATCGGTATAAGTTGAATTCGATTCGAAGAGAGCGTAATCCAAATGATTGTTAACCGGATCAGTGGACCAAGGGAAGTAAGGGTAAACATCGAGGAAGAAGAAAGAGTTTGTCCCGTTGAGAAACTTGAGCAACGGCGAGATCACCGGAGCGGTGATTTCTTCCCGGAATGTACCACTCGACGGAGGAAAACTCGACCGGAGAACGTCCATGGCGAGAGGTGTCCCGACTTTGATGTTGTGAATCCCTCTTGCTCTAAGAGAGTTCACGATCTTGCGCATCGCTGGGACAAGATTCGACCAGATTTGCTTGTCTTGATCGGAACTGTAGCTGAGGATTTCGTTTCCGACGAGGACAAACCGGATTCTTGTTTGTGGGTGATAAGGAAGGACGTTAGTGTTGACCCAGTTGTCTGCTGCGGCTTTATCGGAGCCAACTGAAATGATTTGGTTGTTAGGGACCATGATTGTGACGTAGAGATTGGTCTGAGAGAGGAGTTTTAGGGTTTCTGGATCGGCGTCGTAGAGCTTGACGTGACCGGCTTTAAGGGATTTGATTAGGTTGATTGATTGGTAAGGAGAAGGGAGATTGTTGCCTAATCTTCCATAGTTGATACCAATCCTGCTTGCAAGTGATAACAATGTTTTGTTGTTCCCAATTGCATAGCAACATGAACCTGTAAAAAGAAGAGAAGATTAGGGTAAGTGAATGTGTCTTTGATTATTGAATCATGATGTGTTAAGTGCCAATGAGACTTACTTGAAAGGACAAGGAGAGTGAAGAGGAACAGAGCAAAAGAAGCCATTGGAGAAAAATGTTGTTGGGAGGAGAGTGGTGAGTGGATTTTGAGATGAAGCAGAAGAGACTTGTTGGAGGGTATTTAAGAGGAGATTAAGAGATTGTGTTTTTAAGGATTAGATATAATCATTCATGCAAGAAAAGCTTTTTATCAACTATTGATTTGTTTCTTGAACTCTCACAGTTCTTTGGTGTTTTTCTTTTTCTTCTTGTTTGGGTTTTTGTTTTTAGTTAAGTATAAGGATTAAAGATGTTCAAACAAAAAAAAAAAAAAGAGTATAAGGATTAAAGAAGACTGGTTGGTTGGCTGGTTCAAAGGAAACCAAAAACGCTTTGTCAAATTATTCAGTCAAAATCCGTAGATGTAATGCTAATTGTTTTTAAGTGAATGTTGAATATTTTATTGCTAATCAAGAAAAGTGATTTTTACATGAATTAAAGGAAGAAATATGGCTATACTTTTATACAACGGAATGATGTGTATTTTCCCAGTGCTGAGTAATATGTAGTTTACTTAATTTATTCCGATTTTTTTTTTTAAAAAAAATTAACAAACGTTAGACCAAGTAGATTTATTTTTTCCAGATCGTTGTTGAAAAGAAACCAACACTAACCGAAGGCAGAGCTTAACATGATAGATTTGAACCAAATTTTAAGCAATAAAAAAAAGATTTGAACCAAGTAAATCGCAAAATCACATTAAAAATTCATTTTTCTTAAATTCACGATTAAACAAAATAACTTGTATGTTTTTTTTTATTGGTTGACTAAACAAGAAATATCAAACCAACAAAGCTACTTGAAATGGATTGGAAATTGATCGGAGATAACTTGCAAATCAAAATTTATGTTCTTATAACAAACTGTTCACAAAATATCAGTAGATGGCAGTGCAATAAACATAAACAAATTTCAGAATTAAACTGTAGAAACACTATATCTACAACAAGATTAAACTCAATAATTGTAAAGAGATATTACATCATATAATTAAACAATAGACTACAATACAATAGCAATATATTGAAATAAAGAAGAAGATTTGCATAGTCTAGACAAATTCTCTTTCTTCAATTAGAAACACTTTGTAGTATTACAGTTTAATGATGTTCGGAATCTCAAGATACAACTGCAATTGTTTCTTACTAGCTCGACTCACTTAATTTTGACTCTATTTAAGAAGAATTTGTCTGGTGAGATTTTCTTTGATTTAGTGTGATCCAATCGATTTTGTTTTTCTCATATGTGTCTTGGAAAATCTTCTCCTTTGCAGTTTTTCTCTCTATTTGGAAAATTAAGTGAAGTTGTAAGATGAGTGATGACTAGTTCAATATGTAGGAAAAACAAGAAGAAGAATTGAGAATCCTAGTTTTATAGATTAACGTTTCTAAATTTGTTCAATGCTTTTTGTGTTTTTTTTTCTTTTAAATTTCTCACTTTCGTTATTTCAATAGTTGGTTTATAAGTTTTCTTTTAATCCTAAGATTTTGTGATTGTAGTGAATATGTTTATGAGATTTTTGCTTTCTATTATATTGAAATCAAATGTGAAACAAATCCATACAATATCATAATGAGTTTCTCTATGAAGACGCATTGATATTTGTAGTTATTACCTTACTATGAGAGCAATTGCCCTAATTATTATTATTTTATTATAATAGCAGATACAATTTATCTATTTGCCTACTTTAATTTTTTTTTTTCATAAATGTTTATATTATCCATACGATTTGTGTGAAATATGATTGTTTGTTGAATATACATAGTTCAAATATATCAACTGAGGTAAATTGTAATTATATACTTGGTATAAGAGAACTGAATAAAAACTAAATGGGCATGTTAAATGTAGATATAAACATCTTCTTCATGGATAGGGGCTTGAAATCCCTTCCAATTTTCTTTTGCTCCTCACCAGGTTTGATCATAAAGTTGTCTGTGTAGTTTACTCCTTTGTGCAGTTTTTGTTCAGTCCAAATGTGAAACAAATCCATACAAAATAATAGAATGTGTTTCTCTTGAACACATTTATATATTTAAGTATTATTTATTATTATTAGGATATGATACATCTTTAAAAAAACAATTGCCTTACATATGATTATTATGATAGATTCAAATATGACAAAACGCAACAATGGTTTTCTTCTGATACTTTTTCTTATTAAATGAATATTGAAACTAGAATCAATAAGAACTATTTTTTCTTATTAAATCAAAATCAGTTTCACAATCGAGTTAATAATTTCAAATTTACCATGATACCAAAAAAGAAAAAATTTAGCGCATAGTCTAAGTTTATTAGGATACACTACATCAAAAACTATTAAACATGCATGTAGTATATGGATGCTGATTTTGTAATTAAATACCGATTTTGTGTAGTAAGAAGAAAATTGATTTTGTAATCACCGATCAATCAACATATATATACATATCACTGGTAAAAAGTATCTGCGATGCAAACAGTTTTTTCTATCTTATCTGGGATGTATTCAACATTCAAATATAAGTGATAAGCAAGAATAAAAAAATAATAAAATACAGCTAACAGAAAAAAAAGGAAAAGGCTTTTAAAAAAAAAATTACACACTTTTATTTTTCATGTAGTTCATGGAAAATGTTCAAAGAGAAATTCCAAAAATATTTAATAAGATATTCCACCATGGAAAATATCTGAATTATACATAACTGTTGAGTTATCATCTTCATGTGGCCTTACCCAATCGACATGGTATCCATACCAATCCTTTCCCTCATCGTTCTCTTCCTCGTCTTCTCCGCCGGCGTTCAATTCTCCGTCGCCGATGAGCCGGTTCCGGCACCATGGCCGGAGCAGTTCCACGCGTTGATGTTGATGAACAAATCTGGGTCTCTAGAGATAGTGGACCTCTGGTACGATTGGGTCAATGACCGTAACTTTAATATCATTCAGAAGCAGCTTGGTAAACTCACCTACGACCTTGAATGGAACAATGGCACCTCTTTCTACTATACCCTCGACGCTTCAAGAACTTGCCGTACCGTTCACTTCGAGGTCAGTGTATATATCCTCTTAATTTCTTGTTAGGTTATATCTATGTTTCTTTATGACCTTAATTGTGTTGATTTAGAGGAGAATATTTTAGTATAATTGAGCTAGAGAAGTAGCAAAATCACTTACATTTGAAGCAAGAACAACAATTTTGGGACATTTTCAGTGTTAGTGAACAAGAACAATCGAAGAATATAATGAAATGAACGAAGATTATGTTATTTATCAATCGTAAAGTGATCCGGTTTAGTCTTGAGATAACCGGTTCTTAATTACATTTCATTCTACTCGCTAATACTCTAATTAATAGTCAGATTAGATTTTGATACACTGTATAGTTTTGTGGCTCTGTTGCTAAACTGAATTACCACTCAAGAAACCTTGGAGAAGTTGTCCTAAGATTTGTTGTGTTTATTATGGAAGCATACGGTTCCACAGCATCGTTTTCATGATACGCTCAAGTATTTGTCTAGGCTTAAGTTCAACATAAGAAATGATCATGTATTTTGTAGATGTTTATAATGGTTTGAGAAACAGAACAGTTTTATAGTAAAGTTGCTGAGACTAGTTTTGGATTTTGGTTTAACTCAATCAAGGTTGGAATCCTGAGACCAAATTGGCTAGATGGAGCAAAGTATTTGGGTCAACGACATGTGAATGGGTTTCTCTGCAACGTGTGGGAGAAGGTTGACTTCTTGTGGTATTATGAGGATGTTGTAAGCAAGAGACCTGTTCAATGGATCTTCTATACAGGTGAAGAAGTGATGGATAATACTAGACCATAATTCTATTGACTTACATAATTAAGTCTTGCTTAAGATGTTATCTCAGTCACATTAACCAAATATTGAAAAGTAATTGCAGGTAGAGAAGCTCATGTGATGACATTTGAAGTTGGAGCTGTCTTAGAAGACGAGAAATGGCAGGCTCCTGTCTACTGTTTCCACAATGACAATAAGAACAGTGAGTAGTGAGGAATTGTGTTTCATAATGTGTAGAGTTTCATTGAGGAGAATTTTGGTCTTTAACAAAAACTTTATTATGTAGACTTTTTTGATAGTGGAGCATAAATAAAAGTAGACGTCTTAATCCACAAGGCTTTATTGGGCTTCACTATCTTCTAATGTGGCTATGGAAGGTCTAATAATAAGCACCTTTCTATTTGGTCCCTAAACGTATCTTATGCTACAAATTTCACTATCAACATTTCTCTAAAGAGGAATTGTGGTTAGTATAGTATAATAAAGACAATTTAATTTTGCAATTAATTAGGGGACCAAAGTTAAAAAGTTGATTCCGACCACATTCAAAAGAGAATCTATTGTGATGTCATGCATTAGCCATTAGCATAGACGATAAATTAGGACTCCCAAGTCCCAACTATAAAGCACGATAATTTTTATTTGGGTGTCAGAAAAGGGTAGTTTGGTCTTTTTCATGACGCGTTTCCAAATATTATGACTTATCTATCGTGCTTCGTAACACCTTTATAAAAAAAAAAAAAAACTAAAGAGAATAAAGTCAAGAGACCAAGTGATCAATGCACATTTTAATTGGTTCCTAAAGATATTTAGAACAGACCAAAAAGGTTTTTTGCCTTTTCTTGGTTGGACCTTTTTGTCTATTTATTAAAGAAATCAGATGTCCATTTCTTAGACTTTTTTTTGGTTAAGAATGATTTTACACATTTACAACTTTTTCATCTCACTCTTTTAGCTGTTCTGCAATTTAATTTTGTGACCTTCTCTTACAAATTTACTCCATACGGAAAAATATTATAAAATGTTTTGCACCGCACGTTGCATAGAATGTGTCACTGCCATGCTTGTAAAGAGAAAGTTATTCTGTGATGTTCTGAATAACCGCAGGAATTTTTCAGAAATTGGTCAATTTTTCACATGAATGAAGAAGTAAAAATCAGTTATGAAAAAAAAAGTATACAACATAAATTTAAAAGAATAAAAAATAAACATCAACTCCACTTTATTCCTTTGAAAAAAAAAAGATGAAAAGATTATGGGAACATAGTAACATGCATCTTTATACAATTTTCTTTCTTTTTAAATGAGGTTGGATCTGACTTTTGGACATTCTTTCTTCATCACCCATATGCTTTCACCTAAAGTTGTAGACTTGTAGCTGTTGTTTCCAATTCAAATTTCCAGCCCGATATTTTCTCTCCTTTCCCAAGAATTTATTTTTTAATACTTTCCCAACCAAAAATATTTCTTAAAAGATTCGTCTCGTTGTTAAACTCTCTTTAGGCAAATTCGACATCGTTACAATATTGGGAGTTAAATTCGATTTCCTAAAGTGCTTTATTTATAGTATTAATCTGCCTAATTTCCTTTTATATCTTGTTGGAGAAATTCTTAACAATTCGCTAATTTTCAATTAGAAATCCAAATAAGTTACTAGACATTTTTGTATATCAAAATAAGAGATGTGTGACTCAAGCTTATCAACAAAACAACCGCCCTAATAATATCCAAAAATTTGAGCCGTGAAAGGTGGCAAACAAGTCTTTGGCTTTCTATTGAGCTCTCCACAATTAAACACAGCCTGTAAAACTCATCACATGATTGAGACGTTTACATTTTTAAAGTCATATCCATTTCACGCGGCAAAATTTGTTTTCTTTCAAAATGACAAGAAGATGTGTTAACATATGCTAAGAAGATTCTAAGTCATATAACATACTTGTAGTTCTCAAATTTTCTTCTTTGTTTTTCTTTCTCCCAAAAACAAGCTAACGTAATACAATTTTCCCTTAAAAAGAATGAACAAATGCAAAAGCTCAAGTGGTCAGACGCAAATACAGCATATATGTGCTTACAATATATAAAAATATAATCATCATATCATAACAAGAAAAAGAGCCAAAAGGAACAAAACGTAGTAACATCGACTTGAAAAAACAGAGTTTAAGTGTCACCGACCATCAGTTGAATCGAACGTGTTAGGAAAACCAGAAGACTTTGGAGGAATACTAGACTGTGTCTGAGAGTAAGAGAAGTCTCCATGGAACATTGACGTCGATGATGTTCCTTCGTTTAGTTGCCATCTTTGTAACGCTTGAGGTAAACTCATGTTGTTCACATCGATCCCGAAACTCTCTTCTTCTTCTTGACACGACGGTTTCCACTTCTCTACCAGTGGTCCAAGCACGTTCACCGCGTGACCCATGTCTGGTCTCTGTTGAGGCTCACGTGCCGTGCAGTGACCCGCTAGCTCAGCAACTCTGTGTATGCTCTCAAGTGTTTCCTCGTCTGGCTCTAAGGTCTGGTCCAAAGCCTTTGGGATGTTGTCTTTGTTGATTAGGATTCTCCTGAACCATGTGACTAGATGAGATCTCTCGTCTGGTAATGAGTCGTCTAATGCTTTTCTTCCAGTGATCATTTCCATAAGAACCACTCCAAATGCGTACACATCCACTTTCGTCGTTACTCTTCCAGTAGCTGCAACCACATATTACATACAACACATCAAATATCAACTTAACTAAGCAATGTATCTTAAGACCAAGGCATAGGAAAAATCAACTTACCAGCGTATTCTGGTGCTAGATAACCGAATGTGCCTGCTAATCTCGTCTCAACAGAGTATTTCCCATCAGGTGCGTTCTTCACCAATCCGAAATCAGCAACCTTTGCCCTCATGTCGTCTCCAAGAAGAATATTAGAGGGTTTCAAATCTCTGTGGATGAAGCTTTGCTGAGCTAAGCTATGGAGATATTCCACACCTCGTGCCACGTCTAGAGCGATGCTCACTCTCTGTTTCCAAGTCAGGGGAGAGTATCCAAGCTCACCCCACTCAAACAAATGCTGTCCAAGATTTCCCTGTGGCATGTACTCGTAGACGAGCAGCCTCTCGTTCCCGTTCACGCAGTAACCCAACAGAGCAACCAAATGTCTATGCCTGACCTTAGTGAGCACAGCTATCTCGGCTTGAAACTCGCTCATTCCTTTGTTCCCCATCGCTGAACACTCCATCCTTTTAACCGCGGTTTTTGTTCCGTCGTGCAACTCTCCGGCGTACACAACACCGAAACCGCCTCTTCCCAATATGTTATCCTCGCTGAAATTGTTCGTAACTTGACGAAGAACCTCCATTGGAATGGTAACGCTTCCAGCTTCAAGAAGGAAACGATCACTATTGTCACCACTACTAGGACTGTTCAACGCATTGAAGTTATTGCCTCCACTTCCATTAGCATATCCGCCTCCATTACCATTAGATGCAGCATCGCTAACCATAATCTTCGCGGCCTTCTCAGGATCCGTCCTTCTAAACTTCCCGTACTTCTTCTTCATCACAAACTTGTAAATCACAAATCCAAGAATGGCAATGAAAACAAGAACCGCGACGATCACACCAACAATCACAGGAGCTTTACCACCACCACTACCACCAGAAGACCCACCAGGACTACCATCGGCTTTAGAACCGGTTCCAGGAGCAGAACCATCTCCAGCTTTAGTTCCAAGCAAAACGTTACCTGGCTTGTGATTAAACTTCACTGAAGGAGCAAAATTAGGTATCTCGCCGGTGAGATTGTTGTTTGAGACGTCGATTAACTGCAAGCTAGACATAAATGTCAACTCTTTAGGGATAGGGCCAGTTAAGTTGTTGTCATTAAGGTAAATGCTCTTGAGAGAAGTGAGATTCGCAATCGCCGGAGATATAAACCCGGCGAATCCATGCTTCCCGAGATTCAGAGTCACCACATTCTTCCCACCTTCGCAGGTTACATAAGCCCATCCGCTACAAGCATCGTCTCCTTGCCAAGACTCAGCCAACATCGACGGATATCCCAAACCTCCGGCCACCGCTAAAAGCATCATCACCTGAGGACTACAGCTTTGTCCCGGTTTGGTAGTGCAGAAATCGTTATGCTCCAATGATACTTTCTCAACCTCTGGAGGAAACGAAGGAAGAGGGCCTTGGAACTTGTTGTTGTCAAGAGAAATGTTCTTGAGGCTTCCGAGTGAGAAGAGCGAAGGGGATACAATTCCGGTTAACTGATTATCTCGGAGCTGGAGATCGAAGAGATTCTCGCTTTTCGAGAGATCCGGGATTGGTCCGACGAACTGATTCTTCTGAAGCCAAGCTTGAGACAGCGACGTCATACCGGAGAGAACTTCGATCGTCCCTGACAAACCCGACCCGGTGTGCTGATTGTTGATCCAGAGATTCTGAATCGAAGATTTCGCCAGAGACGGAGGCAACGGCCCGGTGATGTTGTTGTAAGAGAGGCGGAGATTCTGTAGAGAAGCGAAGGAATCGAAAATGTCAGGCAAGACGCCGGAGATTTGCGTGTTGTCGAGGTAGATTGTGGTGAGAGAAGACGAATCCTTGAGCTCCGAAGGGAAACTCCATGAACTGAGGTTCGCGTTATCGCTCAGACTCAAGATCTGGAGGCTTGTGAGTCCGGCGAAAGCTCCGGGCTCAACTCCGACGAAGAGATTCTCGTCGATGTAGATCTCTTGAAGAGACGAGAGCTTAGCGAAGGACGGGATTTTGCCGGAGAGCTTGTTACGCTGAAGAGCGATTGATTTGAGCTCGGAGAGAGTCGAGATCTCGGGTGCTAAACCGCCTGAGAGAGATTTATCAGCGAGGCTGATCGATGTGACGCGACCGGAGGTGCATCGCACGCCGCTCCACTTGCAGTAATCGGCGGCTGACCAATCTGACGGCGGAGGACGAAACGATTTAGCTAAAGCGAGCATTGCTGCTCCGTCGTCGGCTACGGATGCGGTGAGGAGAGAGAAGGTGAAGAGGAGGAAGAGGAGGAGATGAGGCGTAGGAGCCTCCATGGCTTAGAGAACACGCGCGGCGCGTAGAGAGGAGGAGATGGAGGAAGAAGAAGAAGAAGAAGTTAGGGTTTGGTAAATTTTCTGTTGATGGTGGTGGAGAGAGAGAGAGAGAGAGAGAGAGGAAGGAGAGAGATGAATGGAAGCAAGCGAAGAGTGAGGTGTCATAACTCATTCAACAGATCATTACTATTATAAACCTAACAATTTCTCAATTCTGTTCCGTCCCGTTCCGTTACCTTCTCCATTATTTTTCGAATAATTATTTGATTGTGGGGCAATTTAAAAAAAAAAAAAAACAGAAAATACGCGTTGTTTTTAGTATGTAATAAAAATTTCCATAGCGAAACTGTGTGTATATTTAGAGAGATTCTATAAGCTAAGAGACAATAATTAATAAATAACGGGATTCCGTTTGTAATAAATTCGGTGTAATAATAAAGAAAGTAAATTGACTGAGATAATTATTGAGGCGGGTGGTTGTAATAATGGAGATTAATGGAATTCATAATTTGTGTTTGGTAGTTTGGTCGGGTAATTAACAAATTTGAGGCACATTTTAAGGAGGCAATAATAGAGTTTATTTATGTATTGAAATGACTTAATGAGCGTCGAACCCGGTACCTATTGGCGGCCGATGGCTACTTGCTGCAGAGTTTGTTTCTTTCCCCCATGATTCGAAGCTCTGCCTCAAGCATTTCCATAAACGGAAAATGTTTTAGTCATAATGTATTTTGATATTCCAAATAAAAGATGCTTTATTTGGATGCACACCTGTTAAAGAAATATGCAAATATATTTTCGTATAAACAACTGATAATTAGTATATATATGAATACAAGTTATTATTTCTAAACCAAAAAGATATTGTTAAGACATCATTAATTATGAAACCTAGTAGATTTCAATTGTGCAATTTGAACCACAATAATAGTTAGAAAAATATTAGCTCATCTTTTACCTAATATATACAATTGTAAGTTTAATACTTGCTATATTTGAATTAACATTTAGAGTATGCTTTCTTAGTCATGTCATAAGCACATACGTACAGGGAGCTACCTTAAATATTTACTCACTACGATTTTTTTTTTTGTATGTACAAAACTCACTATGATTATATGCTCTAAGCCTCTAGTTAATGTTTATATCTCAACACCTAGTTTATAGTTTTTGTCAACAAACATCTGTATGATTGACTCATATTTTACTTTAATACTCCTAGTTATTCGAATAGAAGACGAATAGAACTTGGTAACATGTTTAATAGAAAATAAGAGTCAATGACTTCTAAATCTTTAAAATACTCTCAAAACATTTGTAAAGAATGGCTCTTTTGACCAAATTTATAAAAATATTAATTGAATATGATAAATGTAACTGGAATTCAATTAGATTTTGGCATACAACCGACCTAGCTAATCTATATTGTTAATACAATATATTATTGACTGAAAAATGTTCTCTGTAATTCAGTATTTAAATTTAAATCATAAGACAAAATACAAACGATTTTGCTATAAAATTCAATTCGTTACTATATATATATAAATTTGTTGTGGTTCGAAAATAACATTTAGTTGGAATACATACAGCTTTATTCTTATAATAATCTTTTAAATAATGTTACACTGAATTCAGATACATCCCTAGAAAACTAATAAAAGATGACAAAAAACCAACCAAAAATGATAAGAATTTGGTGACATTTGCTCTATAACATTTGCAATTCAATCATATATGTACTATTATAGGTTTTAAGTCCATACCGTTAATTATTGCCTGCATTTTATAAAATATATGTAACAATACTCAATTAATTTTCTCAAATATTGAAAAATTTGTAGTTTTCCAAATTTTATAATAACAACAAATTTATACACCTGGTACAGTATCACCTCTTTTTTTGTTCAAAAGCCAAAAAAACCTGAAAACTTCAGAACTGATAACAAAACTTGACGGTAGTGTTATTTTTTTTTTAAGTTTATGAACTATTTGTCCTCCATTCAAATTATCAATGTTCAGCTATAATACTTTCTATTGCATTACACACATACACTGAAATTTCGGTGTATCGTTGTAGATAGGGTTTATATAATACCGTATGATGTTGTACATATATGGTTATAATAAAGTGGATAAATGTGAGCATAAAAGCAAAGATGAGCTGTATGTTTTCATATTTATTTAAAACATCAATGAGCTGTGACTAAATCATTCTTTACGAATCTTGGCGGCGCTGCTGGATTTGGAAGAAAAATAAAAAGAATTGGTTCTAAATCCATGTCTATCGATAATCTTGTGATCATTGTCATGTGTACATTAGAGATTATGCAGTGGCGTTGTATTTGCATGAATATATATAGGTTGCATTATCTGCTTTTATATATATGTGGACGTAAGAAAATTGGTTATAATCAGCACTGCATGTGACAGTCTGTTCTTGTGTCTGTCCGGTAAGAACCTTTTTCTCTTTTCTGAGTGCCCGACCCCAAAATTAGTTATTGTTTTGTCGACTGTTTTAAAGTATTGCGTTTATTCATTGATTTGATAAGAGTTTACAAGAGCTGTTTTTATCCAGAGGAGATATTGGATTATTGTTCTAAGAGATTTTGGACATTAGAACCACATCTCAGCAACACTACTGCGTTTTATAATTAAATGGGATATTGAATTGGGTCAGGTTGGTGATCCACCGTTCGTAATCGACCTAATTCAACGAAAGTAGTATGTAAAATCATTATCAATGTACATACTAATATTAACTATATAACAAAAACAAAATAAGAAATCAAATCTCATATACTAAAAAGAATCAAATCTTAATTGAGAGTAATTAACGAGCAAAGATGACAATTAGTTTTTATTTTCTATTAGAAAACATGACAAATGTTTTAATTTGAAAAACTTAGATAATTCCAGGAGACTCTGGTAACATATGTCTTGCCATGACTGATACAATTTAAAAAAAAAGAAATTATTAATTCAATAAACTATATTGATATATATACATTAATGAGAGATTTGAAAGAGACAAAAGCAACCAAATATTTTGTTTGTAGTGTGACAGAACTGGTTCAAATGGTTTTAACAGTTAACCGGTGCGAAATAAAACAGATTAAACATATCATGCTTCAGATAATAGTTGAACCCACTGACCAATCCGGTTTTGATTCTAAATAATAGTGTAACGGAGACAGATATTCCAATTACTTAAAAAGGGAAAGATATAGGAAGCCTATATTCGTAATGGGCTTTATGGGCCCAGATCAATAGTTTTCTCTAGGCCTTTTGTACTCCTTCCCGCAAAAAATAACCAGGCTTCAGCTTCACACCCCATTCCCGCCAACTAGTTTCCCGCCACACAAGATAAAGCCACTTAAGTTTCTTCCCGCGAAATAAAATAATAAAGAAAAAAGTTAAAACATCTTCTCTTACCTCTTCTCTCTCCTCTCTCTCTCTCTCTCTCTCTCTCTCTCTCTCTCTCTCTCTCTCTCTCTCTCTCTCTCTCTCTCTCTCTCTTTGTCGACGAAGAAGGTTAAACCATGCCGGAATCAAACCAGATCTCTCGAAAAAGGATGCGATTCTCGTCTTCTTCAGCTAGCGAGATCCTCACAACAATGAAATCACAGCACCAAAGAGACCGCTCAAGCCGAATCGCACCCATCGGAAACGGATTTCGTGTAAATCAATCGCCATCTCTCATCGGGAAAATCGATTCCAAAATCATTCGCACGTATCCTCGAGTCACCATCAAGGATCTGCGTCTCAGACGCGTCTTCTCTCCGAGCTCGATCTCCATCGACTCGGAATTAAAAACCAACAAAGGGGAAAATCTAACCAAGGAGCAAAACGACTCGAACAGTAAGTTCCTTGATCTTGACTCTGCAGATTTGGCTTAGGCGAAAAATATAAAAGCTTTGATATGGGTTTTTGAGAAATGTGTCTAGAGGATGTGGTGAACAATGTAGAAATAGATTACGCTTTTGAGAAATTATCTGGGTCCGATGATTGTTTTCTTGCTGGTGAAACAGTTGTGGAAGAAGGAACCAAAGTCGAAGCAGAAGAATTTCTACAAACGACGCCACCTGATACTGAATTGTTAAGCAGTGGACCTTTCTCTATGGTGAATGAAGCAGAGCGTATCTGTGAAGAGATCAATGGACAAGCAGTGAAGAAAAGTGGTGCTGTTCTCTGCAGCAAATCGGTATGCGTTCTTGTGGCTTTCTTAAAATTTGATACATTTGTGTTACTGTGGTTGTTTAGCTTGCTTCTCGTTCCTACAGGTTCTTCATTCATGTACTCGAGCTAAGATATTCAAGAACCCTGGATCCTTCAGCTACAAGAGACTGCTTCCATACTTGATGCAAGCTTCAGATGGTATTTCTTTGCTTCTGTATTTATAAGATGAAATTTAAACTGAGTTTCACATGAGGAAGCTGGAATTTGACATGCCTAATTCCCAAATTTGTCTCTGCAGATGTAAAATCATCGAGCCATTGTTCAAAACCTGAGAAATCTCTTATCCAGAATCCTCCAAATGTAGATTTCTCTTGTAACAAAGAAACTGTGGAGACTAAAACTGCTGCTACTGAGGATCCAAAGGAGGAAGTAGGTGAATTGATGACAGCCAAGTGTCCTCTCCCTGAATCCACCAAACAGGTTTCGCAATCCGTGGACAGAGTATTTGATAAGCATTCAGCCGGAAGCTTTTGTAGAAACACCAGCCCTTTGAAGAAGGTTCTTGCGTCCAGCCCCAACAAGAAATCTGTAAGACTTTCGATCCATGAAGAAGCTTCCTTGTTGTATCTCATTTCAAAGATTCTTTCATTTCAGGCTCCTATATTGCTTTTCTTTCCGTCTGTCTAATATGAGATTCTTTTTGGCATGAAATAGTATGCTCTAGGCGTAAGTTATTTAGAACACCAGGGTTCCGTTAATTACAGAAGAATGCTTCCATATCTCAGAGATATTCAAGAAGATTATCCTTGTAAGCCTCTTTCTAGTCCAATAGAACTCTAAGTTGCTTATATCCAGCGTTGGTCATAGTGATGTATTGATACAGTTTGATTGAAGTGAGAAAAATTCACAGACTGAGTATACTGATGGTACTTTATCTTTGATGATTTTTCTAGGCGTGCCTGAAACAGTTAATCATACAGATCAAAAAGAGAACTCAGAAGAGACTACTCCATCATCGATGTCAGTCTCTGACAATGAAGGGGCAGAGGAAAAGGTGACATCAGATGTTGCTAGAGAATCAGATATATGCTCTAACGAAATCGAAGAGCCTCTTCCTCCTGATGTATCTGAATCTCCAGAAATGTCTGATACTGACAAGGAACAAGAAACACAAGTTAAGCATGTCATCCCAGACACTGAAAAAAACTTGGGAACTCCTGGCAACGTTTTGGGCTCTGAGGTGCCTTTATCATCTCCTCTTGTTGGTTCAACAAGTTCAGTTGAGGTTGCTACATCTGCATTGACCAACACAGTTATCGATGTGGGCGAAGTAAACATAAGTGATGTAGAGGAAACAGAAGCTAAAGACAGTGCAGAGCAACTAGAGGAAAATAGTTCGAATTTAACTGCTGAACCGCTTGATCCTTCAGTTGTTTCGGGAACTCCTCCTTCCATTTCTCCATCAAAAGGGATTCTGAAAAGAAGTATAAGAGGATGTAGAGGGATATGCTCTTGTTTGAACTGCTCCTCCTTTCGACTAAACGCAGAAAGAGCATTCGAGTTCTCAAGAAATCAGTTACAAGATACTGAAGTAATGGTTTTGGATCTAATTGAAGAAATATCTCGCCTCAGGGATGTGTTGGAGAAATATGATTCACCAGATCACAATGGTTCCTACAAAAGTCAGGTATGTATAGAACAAACTTCATAACAGTCTTTTTAGTGGTAGAGTCAGAGCAATGTCTTTGGTTTATCAGTTTATTGGGTGAAATATGCTCAACTGCACTGTTATTTGGCCTGTTGACACAAGTTGTGATAGATGGTCGATAAGTTCGTGCAACTGTTAATTTGGAAACTTAAAGTGTTCTGCTTTACAAATGTGCAGACGTACACATTTGAATCTGAATCATGTTCTTTTTAACAGGCTGGAGAAGCTACAAAGAGAGCTTCTGAGGCTGCAGAGCTTGCAAAAAGCCGCCTTCACCAGATGAACGAAGACCTTCAAGTTCACTGCAGAATCCCCGTGAGTTATTCATAATCTATTGTCTTTTTGAAAATCATTCTGCTTTATGTTAAGACAACATCTAGTTGAGGCTATTAAAACACATGATTCTCACTCTCTATGTTTGTCTCCAGAACGAACAACGAGCAAGAGTGAAATTCGCTCACTACGTCCACGAGAAGACAATCCTAAAAGCATCCGAACCTAACAAATTTGATCCATAGATCATCACCCTGAAGCAAGTGCAAGTAGGAACCTTTTTGTAATATGTCACATGTCTACAGATGATCCAGTTTCATGTTATCTAACTTGAAAAGTGAAAGGTATTAGCTGTCTCTTTCATTTGTCCCTCTTACGCTAAAAGAGAAAGCATAGTTCAAATTGCCGTTATACATATAATCCATGTGATCTTATTTATTATCTGCTTTTTACTTCAATGTACATACGCAAGACTATAAAAGCAAATTCCTGTGATCTCTCTTACCAAGCTGCAGATAAAAACAACATTGGGTGCTAATTGTGTTACTTAATCCCACATGTTTGCCTGTGATATTTATGCCTTTTAATTTGGATTGTTATATATGGAAACTTATATTTGTATTAGTGTTCATACATACTTGATTATTGTTTGTTTCGGTCTACCAAGAATTTGAATTTTTTTTAGAGCATCTCTAAGAGACACTGTATTTTTAAAGTGTGAGAAATTTTATATTTGAGGTTTGAGGGTGATGCTCTCGAATGATAAACCTTAAAATGATATCTTAAAAATATTATACTTTACACTTTAGTCTTTACTATTTATAATTAATTAACTTATATCATAAAACTTTGATAAATAACTATAAAAATACATATTAAAAATATTATAGGTAATATTAATTAATACAACTTTAATAGAATATTAGTACTTTAGTTTCATCAAATGAAGAAATCCTTGATTCTTGAAAGAAAGTGCATCAAGAGGGGATAAATATTATGAGATGGCTCAATTGCGAATGCAAAATCAAGCAAAGAAATTAGCCTTAAAAAAAAATGCGAGAAGAAAATAAAATATTACTAACAGTTTTGGACTCTATTGCTAATAGTAATACTCGTGAGTTTCTTCGATCCGAACAAGTAAGAATCTTCAAAAAAGAACTCAAGAACAACAACAACAACAACAACCCCCACCTTCAGTTGCACCAAATTTGTATGGACAATTTTTTGGCGATCTTGGAGGTTCAGAATCTAATTTACCTGAATATTAGTTTTGTTGTAGTATTTTTATTTGTGTAATATTTATATGTTCATGTCAGTTTATTTTTTGTGTTATTTTAGTTTATATGAAATTTGCTTTATGTAATATTGTTGTTATGTATTTTTTTTTTAATGTTATGTATTATTTTACTATTTGTCATTATTATTTTTATTTTAAATTATTTTTATTTTAAATTATTTTTAAAAATTTTATATGTATATATATAATTTATTTATAAAAATAAAAATGAAGAAATATTAATAAAATATTACATTAGGAGAAAAACAAAAGTTATTATGATTAATTTTAAAACATATAACTGAAAGGACTGAAATACAAATAAAAAAAATGACACCTCAAATTTGAGGTATTGAACAGTGATACCTCAAATATAAGGTGTCACTGCTCAATAACTCAAAATTTGAGGTTTTAAGGTATCTCTTGGAGGATATAAAACCTTATATTTGAAGTTATAAAGTATCTATTGGAGATGCTGTTATATAATCTGTTTAGTACACTATCCGTGAGTCTCGTGACACATTTATTGACCCGTAGAATGAATATGCATTGGAATAAGCAAAGCAAATCTAATGAAGAAATCAATTTATTAAAAATAAAAGAGAGAGAATTTGCACTAAACAACAAGAGAGAGAATCATTGGTTTTTAGACTCTAGACCTCTTACACTCTGGTGGGAATCCTCGAGGAAACCTTTTAAGATCAGAGCAATAATCATAAATCATGAAATACTTTTGAACCCATCTCAATCTTCTTCTCCCATAGGCATTAAGCTCATTAGCCACCACCTTAGACTCACCATTAGTTAACGAGCTCTTAAACTTAGGATCACAGAAAGATGACCCTGAAGACACTGTACAAGCCGCAGCGTTAAAGCCTCTGTAGTAAGCTGTGAAAGGAGCCTTGGACCAATCAGTCTTAACCAAACCACCTCTTGTAGCCCAATCATCAGCATTCCATAAACTCGAGTATATCCTCATTGGCTGCTTCTTTGGAAACGGAACACCAAGCTGCTATGCATTGTTGAATACTCTGATTGGTACATTATCCACCATGAATCTGCAAACAAAAGGAGACAGACACAAATGTTAGAGACAAACAACGAAAACGCTAAAAGTGTTGATTTTTAAGATGGGTTTTGGATTTAGTTACATGATATGTTGAGGTCTCTAGACAAGAGAATAAGTGTGGAAGTTCTTGGTTGGGTCGAACCAGAGATAAAACTGTTGCTCTCTGTTTCCTTTTCCTTGTGCAAAGACATTAGTGTGAAGAACATAAGGCTTCCCTGTCTCGTTGCCAAGAAACTCAAAATCTATCTCGTCGTGTGTTGGTCCTTTCGAAGACAACTGCAACATTTTAACATTAATCTTTGTTAAGAAAACACCAAAAAAGTTTGTCTTTTTGTGTGTTTTAGAGTGTGAAGAAGCTTACGTAGTAGGCAGTGACGGCTCCGGCGGAGTTACCGGCGACGAGTTTGAGCTGCATATCGATTCTTCCGAACAAATATTCCTTCTTGGATTTAAAACCCGACCCGGAAACCCGGTCTAGTGAAAGTGACAACATTTTCCCTCCACTGAAGATTTTGCCTCTGTGTTCACCCCAAGTCAAGTCAAACTCGTCGTTGAAGTTACCGGAGTACACATTTCCGGCCATTGTGAGAACAAGAACGGTCATCAAGACGGTGAGGTTCAAGGTTCGACCCATTTGAGGGGGGCTTGGAGTTATGGGGTTTATTTTAGTAATAGTGGAAGAAAAAAGGAGTTTTTTGTATTTTTTGTTTGTTCGAGGAGTTGTGATGTGAGATTGGGTTTCAGAGGTATATATAGAGGGTGAAGCAGAGTATTGGGAAGCCAACTACAGTTGTTTTTTCAAAAAAAAAATCTTTTTTTTTTCTTTTTTAAGCATTAATTGATTAATTTCTTCTACTGATGAGTTTATAATTTTGTAGATTTTGGATCCTTAAACCACAAATTAATGAAGAAAAAGACATAAATTGTCTTTCGGAGTTGATGAATACTTTCCCTTTACTAATCTCATGTAGAGTAATAAAACTCTATCTAAGTAATGTGATTTGACATATATAAAAAAAATGTAGTAGAGTAATCAGCAAAAAGCAAAAATGGCAATACTGTTACTAGAAATTATAAATAGATAACAGTAACATGACAATAAACAAGTTTAAAAATAATTTCTAATTTACATAACTGTTGTTATTGCTGTTAAGAAGGTAAGTTGTGTGCTAATAGTGACTATGAAACATATAATTAATTTGAATACACAAGTTATTATTTGAATATATATACATTTTATTTTTCAAACTCAGCATATGCATTTATATCTATATTGAATGTAATATTTTCAAATTTTGAAAGAAAAAAAAAGAGAAATGGAAGAACAAAAATGAAAGCTGTCGAAAAGAAAGAAACAAAAGAGAGAAAGAGAAGAGTGCGGGACAGAGGAGAGTGATCTATCAGTGAATAGCTGTTGCCAGCTCTGTTTCTTCTCCCCATCAAACCTGGAGCCTCTTTTATTTATTTTTTTTGCTTTTTTCTTTTTTCTTTCTTCAGATTTAATTAAAGTTCAAATTCATATTTAAAAATAAAAATATATTTAGAATTTAGTAAACAACAACAAGGAGAAAAATTATGCTTTATGATTTGTACGGTTTCTATCTTTCTAAGTTATACTAACAAGCTATAGGTACAAAGATTAGTGATTTTTTTTTTGCTAGCAAACTAACAAGATTAGTAATATATACAAATTTCTGGTCTTTTTTTTTTCTTTTTCGGATTGGATATAGACATACAGTGAATGTTTAACATGGTAAATTTTAACTAAGAAATGAGATTTTTCATTGATAATTTTTTTGTAGCTTTAGTTGAAAAGAGTGAGATTTTTTTCTGCTAGCAAACCAACAAAACATTAAACCTAAGGTGAAGGTTTTATCCAGTTAAAAGATTACAACTGAGATAGTTTCGAATTGCGTGGTCAATAATAAATTTCGTATGCTCATTTGCAAATCGATTGAGTTTTTTTTTTCTTCTTTTTTTATTTATTTATAAGTGCTCTAGCCAAATATATATACTGTATTGTTTCTTGTTTCTTTGGCGTTTCAACTGTTTCATGTTATTACAATCGTTACTAATTTTATTAATTATAATATTACCGTTCCATTCGTTTATTATTAAGTTCTAATACGATATATGAATGCACTTGTGGAGCTCACACACCTGCTTCATGTCACGTGTCTCTATCCATTAATTCTCACCTCTTTTGCTGAATATTATATGCTAAGATTCGAATTCTAAACGCAACTCTTCCAAACACGAGACTCTAATCCATATAAGTAGAGTTTTTGAATCGATAATGGCTTTCAGGTTTAGATATGAATGTAAAATGGTTTTAATGGGATATGAAAACTTCCCCTTAGTTTAGTATTTGCAGGTACGTACGTAGATCGAGTTATAGTTATTAGGTTTAGAGAGACTTGTATAGCAAGTTATTAGATCTACTGATTTATTTTTTCTACTGATTTATTTCGTCTCTTTAACTTTCTATATATGCTTGTGCTTCGACACAAAAAGGTAAAATTTCAATTATCAGAAGCACTTCATGTGGATGTTAATTATAAAGTCTCTCGTGAATCGTGATGTACACTAATATAATCATTTAATAACATAAAACAACATTATTTCAGTAATTTCTACTAGTTTATTTTCAGATTTAGTTCTACTTCGTTGGCGACCTAAAAACAATTATATCAATATAGATCAAAATCTCAACAAACGTGATTCAGAAATGTTGAAAAAAAAAACTAATTAGATCAAAACAGCAACAAGTTCTAATTGGTTAAGCTATGTGGGTGGAAGACAGTGCTCAATCATTCTTAATCCGTCGAAATTTATATAATATACAAACGAGATGCTATTGTTATACTAATCCAGTAATCCATCGAAAGAAGATTACAAACCCTTCATTTCTTCGGAAATATACTCATTATTTTTTGTTAAAGCTGAATATATATACTCATTATACTTTTCACTAATTATTCCTCTTTAAACAAATTAATTACAAGTGGGGTGATCACTATTATGGATTAGATCTGTAACCAGATTTATCATTAATAGTTTTTATCTCATTCATTGCCCTCTTTAGCATTTGCATCTTCTTGTGTGCATACTGCACATGATGAAAAATAAAACGCTGATAAAATTGCCATTCGATTAGGAGTATGAACTACTTTAAAAGAAAAGATTATTACTAATATATACCATTCCACACCAAAATTCTTTCTTCCGTGCACATGATCCATATACAGTACCACTAATTTTTTTTTTTTTTGTTTTAAATACGTGTCAGACATACACAAGTTAAAATTTAACAAATTTAATTAGGCCTCTTATGTTTAAGGTATCGATCGTAAATGACTATTTGTGTAAAGAGAACAACTAAAGAGTGACAATTTTTTGGCAATCTATCTCTTAGATAATCGTTTAGAGAAATCTGACTTAATAGAAACTCAGAGTATTGTAATTCAAGGGAAAACTAAACTCATAACTCTTTACCCCAATAAGAAAGTAAATGGATAACTTAACTTTTTCATATTAGGCTATGAAACAAATGAAAAATTAACCTTAATTAGTTTGATTAATCAAATAATACTTCTTAACAATCAGACCAAAAAACCAAAAAAAATAATAATAGTAAATCATATATTGTTGCATGGAGAAAAACTAAAAGCAGAAAAAGGTAGTACATGAAAACCAAAGAAAACAAATAATTTGAACGAAAATAATTAAGAGGTAACGAATCCAGTGCAGTGGAGTGTAATTAAGAAAATAAATAAAAAGAAGAGATTTTAGAGACAAATCTATAAAACGAAAAAGAATCACACGAAGCAGTGCATAAACACGTGAAATGAAAACATGGTTCTGCAGATTATAAATCCGACATTAGTCACTATAAATCTTGGTTTTTTATATTTTATATTGTTTATTAATTGGTGTACACACTTCAAAGTTCCATGCAGATCTTATCTGCTCCAGTTAATTGCGATCTAGCGAGGGAGAAGATATACAACAAAAGAGATAATCTTAATACTTAGAAAAGAAAAAAAACTGTAAGAACTTTCAACATTAAAATATTAGCCGGGTCGTTGGTTCATCTTAGCTTAGCTAGGGTAGATTTGTGAGAAACTTTATTATCAACGGTACCTTTTCAACACGAACTGCTTAGAAATGTAGTAATATATTTTAATAATTATATTTAATGCCTATATTATATATGTGTAAAATTACTATATATAGTTGAATGTTAACATTTACTAAAGAGTCAATAAGGTAAATAATACAAATCTAGAATGAAATTAAGTAAATAACAATGACAAGACTTTAAGCTATATATACAATATTTTGTCGGTGTATGTTTTACCCTTTAGCCCTTCTTTATTTTCCTTTTTATTGCTTATGCTATCAATTATATATTCTTCACGTGCTTTTCGTCTCTCTTCTTCTAGTTTCAGTTTTTTTCAGCCATAGAGAAAAAGCTTTCTGGTTTGAAAAAATCAAAAACAAACCCAGCAACATTCAAGAATTCGAATCCATAGTTTCCTAACAAAGATCCAACAAATAAATTCATAGAATCCGGCACATATCATGTGAAATCCACTGTTTAGATGATAGCCATGGACTCATAGTGATGAAAAAGAAATTCACCCGAATTCTTTGAAAACTGTGAGTTAGAATCGAGTAAATTTAGTTAGATGTTAAATTCGAGTTGACTCAGTGAGTTACATTTGAGTTAGCTAATAAATCTTCGTTGATATTTTTATGGAGTCAATAAACTGATAATATCAAAACTGTTAACATATTAGTTAAACAGTTAAATAATTTGTTATCAGTCTAAATTTTTTTTTAACGCAGTACGTTTAGTTTCATACATGTTAACATATATATTATACAATTAAATAACTTGTTATCAACTATATACTATTAGCATGTTAAGTATCTGCATTCTTTAACACTGAATTGCTAAATTTGATTCAATAACATGAGAATATCTTAATCCGTTAACATATAAGTGATACAATTACATAAAATGTTATCAGTCTAAATAGTTTTTTAGGGCGCTGCATTTCATCTCATACATGTTAACATATAAGTTATACAATCACATAAGGTGGTATGCAATTATTTAATATGTTAATGTGCTAAGTTTTCTATTTTTTTTACACCTATGAATTGTTAGATTTGGCTGGTTGAGTACCACATTGATTTTTTTTTATGTAATAATAAGGTATCTATCTTTCTGAGACTAGACATTTAAATTTGAGAAAAAATCTTGGTGAAATTCCTACAAATGTCACGGGAAAAAAAAAAGAGAATGAAACTTCATATAAGAAATCCAAAATGGGTCGAAAACGTATAAAGGAAGTGTAGGTTTTCTCTCCTCCCTTAGGCGATTAGGGTTTCCAAAAATCTTAACGCCGCCACCGCCGGTGAGCCTCACGCTCGCCGGTGAGAATTTCTTCCTCTCTCTCCCTCCTCTTCTTTTCTGGTTGTTTGTTTCTTCTTCATCATCCTGTTCGTTTTTCGCAAATGTCTTCTCCAGATCTGCTTGCTTCGATGCCTCTGGCAGAGCCACCGTCGGTTCGCATGCTGCCAGATCTGCTCACGGAGACCCCTTCTCTCGTTTCTCTCGAACCTCCAGACCCTCCCGACCCACCGGATCTAACTTGCCTCGGCCGAGTTTGTTTCATCGCCATCTCCTCCATCTCCTTTCATCCTCCG